AAAGCTACAAACAGGGATTCCACAGCCTGATAAGTTCATAGCAAAATTTCTGTTATCCCTCACAAACAAGTCGATTTAAATCTGTGAGTACTGTCAAACTTATTTATTAGTTTATAAGTTAAAAAACAATTTTAAGAAAAGAAATTTTTGAAAACCTATAATGAGTTGATCAGGACTATCAAGTGTCTTTTGAAAGGCTGGAAGTGAAACTGGCTTTGAAATGGATTTGGGAGAGGGCAGAGTGAGGAACGAAGGAGCCAGGCAAACACCTGGCACTGGACTCCTGGCAGCCAAGGCTGGGTGGCAGCCTTGACGTTGAAGGCACTGGTGTCTCAGTGGTTGAACAGGGGCAGGTGACAAGGCACCTGTGTGGCTGTGGGCCGGGGTAAAGAAAAGCCCAGCTCTGGCTCCGATAGTTGCCTCTGCTGGGCCTGGAGTTCCTGAGCACAGCGTTCACATTGTAGCACTCTCCGTAGCACTTCCTGCAGGATACAAGTGGGCCTGAGACGGGGACTGCCCAGGGTGGTAGCCACAGCCACATATGACCACGGAGCCCTCGAGGAATGGCTGGTGTGACAGGAACAGGATAAGCTCGATGTCAATTACAACAGCCCTGCTGCTTAGAGACAAACCCTCAAGCTGAGTCTGCCATCTCCGCAGCCCACTTCCTCCTTGGGCCCTTGGAGGCCCAGACTCAAGCCTCAAGCAGAGCCCAACAGTGAGCTGAAACTTCAAAATGTTAATATTGTTTTGTTTCATATATTTCTCTGGTTACTTTCTATGACAAGTATTAATGGTTTTCCATTTATGGTAAGGTATAACATTTCCTTTTTTTTTCTTTGAGTAAAGTCTCATTCTGTCGCCCAGGCTGGAGTGCAGTGGCACAATCTCGGCTCACTACAACCTCTGCCTTGGTTCAAAGCGATTCTCGGGCCTCAGCTGGATTACAGGCACCGCCACCACGTCCGGCACGCTTTAGTAGAGACAGGATTCACCATGTTGACCAGGCTGGTCTCAAACTCCTGACCTTAAATGATCCACCCACCTCGGCCTCCCAAAGTGCTGGGATCACAGGCATGAGCCGCTGCGCCCAGCCCAACATTTCCTTTTAAAATGAATACATTTACATAAAGAACAGCAAAGCTGGTACAGAGGTTAGCAAAATCAGGTACATCCAGTACCCCAGCCCACCCTCTAGAAACAGTACACACCGCGAACCACACGAAACAAACCCAGGAGTCCATTGCCTGCTCTCCCAACACTGTGAGAATGCCTTCTCACCAGCACTCCTCTGGTCCAGGAACCACTTTCAAGTAACAGTCCATCTTTGAGACTGAGTCTTTCAGACACAGGCCATTTCAAACGAGAGACTGCATTTGCGTTTGGGTGTTAATGTCTTCAAAGTGCTCTGAATACGCGTAAGATCTTTCTCTAAAGGCATGATCAAGTGTTGCCAAGCATGGGAGTTTTAGATCAATAAAGCGAGAAACCACTTGGCGTCACCACAAGGCAGTGCTGGTTTCCAAGATACACTCTGGACTGCCATGCAAGCAGGCACCTCACAGGCAGCTGGGCTGACCACAAGACGCACACGTCCATGGTCCTCGAAAATGCTCACCGCGTCAGCTTGCCACAGCTTTGATCTGTGCTGGAGACTGGGCCTGGCCTTGGATCTGCGGAACTTGCACACAGAAGTCGTGATTGCTGCTGCCCTTGCTGCTGCTGTTGCTGCTGCTGCTGCTGTTGCTGCTGCTGCTGTTGCTGCTGCTGCTGCTGCTGCTGTTGCTGATGCCTGAGAAGCTGGAAATGTGCAGGTGTGATGGTTTTCAGGGAAGGCTGAACTCCTGTGGCAGGTTTGCTCATTAGGTCTGGACAGGGATACTCGCCCACCTTCAGATCCTCATTCTCAGAAAGCAAGCAGCAGCTGAGCCCTCACACGTGCCACAGCAGACGCGTGTCAGAGAAAGCTCCCAGCCTGGCTTTGCAACCCAGGACACCTGGGGCTGAAAGACCGGCGCCCGGGGGTCTGCACTGAGGTCAGGCTGGTAGTGACCACGGCCGAGGCTGTCACAGAAGTGACTGCTCGAACACCCTGAGTCGTCGTCATGGACACCCGGAGTCAGGGTCGCGTGGCTGGGGGCCGACTGCCCGTGGCGAGGCTGGGTGTGCCACCTGGGCAGGAGCAGAGCCTCCGGCATCCAAAAGGCAAACAGAGACCTCATCAAATATTTCACACAGCACTCAGACTCATTCACACTCTTAAACCAGACAGACAAACACTAGCTAAAAGTAAAAAATAATTAAACTGCATGATTATTCTTTAACCTTTCCTGATTTATTATCATTCTGTCTTTTATTATTTATTTTCCATGCTGCCCCAGACACGCAGCCCACAGCCTGGCTCTACCACCGCCCCATCTGTGCTGACACTACAGCCCCGACACAGCCACAGCCACCGTCACACACCCCATCTGTGCTGACACTACAGCCCTGAGTCTCTCACCATGTGCTTGGGGTCTTGTGGCATCTTACCTTCATCTTGCACCATTAGAGCATCCTCACTGTGCCCTGCAGTCGACTCTGGCGCAGGCAAGTGGCAGCCAAGTGGCTCCCTCACCCTATCTCGCCCACCACCCTTCCTTGTCCACCCAGGAGAGATGGCAACAACCAGGGAAGGGGTGCGGAGGAGGGGCTGATGGTAGAAACAGGAAGTGGCTGGTCCAGGTCTCTTCTGGAAGTCAAGCACACACAACTGCCTGCCAATGGGCTGGACCTGTATGGGTGACTGTAGGGGTTTCTCAAGTAGGCAAAGGTCTGCAGAGACAGCTGTCCTTCCTGAGCCAGAAGCCTCTGGTAGGAGCAGGTCAGGCGTACACACCTGAGGCCTGAGGTATCAGACATCTCCATGGATCTGTCAAAGGCAGGTAGGATGAAGAATCTGGAACTCAGGACAGTAAGTGGCTGCAGACATGAATCTGGGCGTCATTTGCACCGAGACAGGACTTAAAGCCTTGAGGCTAGAGGAGATGTGTAAGGGAGGGAGGTCATACACACGGGCTTTAAACAAGACAAAAAGCACCATTAACAAAGAGGAACAGAATCTTCCAGCAAAGTAGGAAAGAACAGAATTTTCTTACTCTGACAAAAAACACAGCAAACACCCTACTTCACAGTGACATATGGACTCTGACATTCACCACTGTGCTGCAGGTCCCAGCCAGCACAGTAAGGCGGGAGCAGAGTAAGGCGGGAGCAGAGTAAGGCGGGAGCACAATCAGGCGGGAGCACAGTCAGGCGGGAGCACAATCAGGACTTAAAGCCTTGAGGCTAGAGGAGATGTGTATGGAGGGAGGTCATACACACGGGCTTTAAACAAGACAAAAAGCACCATTAACAAAGAGGAACAGAATCTTCCAGCAAAGTAGGAAAGAACAGAATTTTCTTACTCTGACAAAAAACACAGCAAACACCCTACTTCACAGGACATATGGATTCTGATATCCACCACTGTGCTGCAGGTCCCAGCCAGCACAGTAAGGAGCAGAGTAAGGCGGAGCAGAGACATGGAGTACAATCAGGCGGGAGCACAGTCAGGCGGGAGCACAATCAGCGGAGCACAGTCAGGCGAGCACAATCATGGAGCACAGTCAGGGCGGAGCAATAACTGTATAGTCAGGCGGGAGCACAATCAGGCGGGAGCACAGTCAGGCGGGAGCAAGCAAGGGTTTAAGATGGGAGAAGTAGATCGTCACGATTTACACGTGATACAACTGTATATGAAGGAAACGCAACAAAACCAAATCCTAAGATAAATTATTCAAATAACCAGAATCTAGCAAGGCGGCCAGAAAAACCAATGTACAAAAATGTACAACAGCCAGAGACAGAAAACAGAAATTAAAAGCATACCATTTACAAAAGCATCAAAAAATACTGATTAAGAATAAAACTAACATAATCTATAAGACTTTCACAAAAAAAATTTAGAAAACTTCACTAAAAGGCATTAAAAAAGACTTACAAAAAATGTATCATATTGGTGAATCTGAAGCCAAGAGTGTAAAGATGTTAACTCTCCCCTAAACAGAGCTACAGAATCAATGCAATTCTAACAAAAACTTTCAGCAGTTTTGATTGCAGTGTATGAATTAAGCTAACTAAAATTAACACGGAAGTGTAAAGAGCCAAGAATAGGCACCTTACACCCAAGGAAGGGTGTGGTAGGGGGGCTCGCCCTCCAGACACCAAGTGTCACGGCCACTCAGAGCAAGAGTGCAGTAGGACCAGCACGACCTCTGAGACACGAAGCCCTGAATGTCCCCACAGGATCTCGGGTGGAGGTGGCACTGTGGATTGATGGATGACAGAGTGGGCTTTTTAATAAATGGGGCTGAAAATAGGGTGTTCACAGGGCACATCAAATTGAATTCCTGTTTCTATCTCAAACCCAAAAACCAATTCCAGGAGGGTGGAAGACCAGCTGAGAAGGTAAAACTCCCTCGCTCTCAGAGGAGGATGCAGGGAGGTAACTCCATAAGCTCTGGGAGGAAGCAGGACATAAAAGCTCTAGGCAGAGAGGAAGACGGGAGGGCACACTGCACACATGAAATCAGGAACTCCATTCTCCCAAAGACACCAGGTAGAACTTGATGAACAAGAAATATCAAAAAACAAAATAAAAAATATTTTTTAAAAAGACACTAGGAAGGGAGAAGAGGAGCCTGGAACTGGGAGATGGCAGCTGTACCCCGCAGAGCTGGAGATCGACATCCAGAACATGAAGGCAAAGCTGGCGACAGCTGGAACAAGCACCTGCAGAGAGGAGCCTTCCCAGGAGCCAGCGGGGCTGAAACCTGAGGCCAGGAGACAACACTTCCCCTCCAGTACACCACCTAGTGGAGCCACCGAGAGCTGGGAGCTGGCAAAGCCCACGAGACATACAAGCCAAAGGCCAGGCACCCACTCCTGACACTTGGGCCCGCACCCTGTTCCCCACTCACCTGGATCTGGGTCTGCACTTGCTGGGCCCCGGCCAGTTTCTGGGCCTGGGAGATGGGTGTGGTAAGAAACTGGGTCTTAAGGGCCGGCTGTGCGGCGTAGGCGACCTTCTGCTGCGCGCCAGGGGTGGTGATCTGCTGTGCAGTGATCTGGGGAGAGACTGCGAAATTAGGGCCGCAGAGACCACGCTGCGCTCAAGACTCCCGGGACTCCTGACTGCTCTGGGCCCTACGGCAGAACCCAGCCCCTTTCCAGCCTACCTCCCAGACCAACCCTGTGTGCACCCACATCCCCTGCCCTCTGCGCCTGACGCTGCCTCCTGGCAAACCTCTGCCCACGTGGCCTGGCCACCAGCTTCTCCTCCAGGAGGCCCGGCAGTTGCCTGCACCCCACCCCACCCGGGATGCTGTTCCCTGCATAGCTGGGCTGGTGGGGCACCCTGACACCCTTGGCACACCTGCGCAGGGCTGCTACTTAGGTGACTGAAACCGACCACAATCTCTCAAATCCAATTTAAGAATTTGGTAGACATAGAGAAAATATTTAGTACAAGGGGTAACAAACTGGTATGCACAATTTTTGCATATCATATTGTGCACGTGTGAAGTTTACGTATCTGCTGTATCAGCCATGCTATGGGTAAGTAGGGGTTTCTAACATCTAAGGGCGTTTCTGTCCAATCGTAGGAACACAGCCTGGCACTTCAGCTGCAGCCTTCCACTGCTCCCTCAAGCACAGCTCAAGCCTGAGGGACCACGCCCACCTGTGCATCAGCGTGGCCACATCTGCCCATGGACCACCATGAGGCACCCAGCGGCTGCTGACCAGGCCTGGGAGGTAAGTCCCAGTACCATCTCCTTCTTCTAGAGGTAAATAAACGCAGATGACCATCCCGACCCAAAGGACATGCACTTCCCTGCAGCGGTCGTGCCGAGTGGGGATGCAGGCTGGTCTTCGGAACCCAGCCACGGCGGAGCTGATGGCATTACCCAGACACCCTGTGCCTCCCGGCTTGTGTTCCCTCAGTGCTCACTCCCTCCCGCTCTGGGTTCCAAAGACAGCTCTGCTTCCAGCTCCCCACAGAGCACGCCATCGCTGGCAACCAGCAGGGCTTCACCACAGGGTTCCTGAGCACTGGTCTTCTGCAGGAGGTGGCAGCGGCTCACAGCACAGCCAGTGTCCAGCTGGTGTGACACAAAGCACCCTGGGCCCGCTGGAGTCAGCCAGCCGCCTTTTACTGGCCCTGTGATCTGGGCAAGTCCTTTTCTCTGAGCCTCAGTTTCCTCAAAACAACATCCTCCATCTTGAAGATGAGCACCAGGTACCTGCAGGGGGCCAGCGCAGCGCTCAGGGAACAGGGTAGCTCCCCGCACAGCCACGTGGCTTCCCATCAGAGCCCGCCTTCTAACTCTAGCCAGAGAGCAGTGCCAATAGAACATGGGGTCTGAGGGCCCACACCAGCCATCCAAAGCCTGGGACTTGGGCTGGGTGCCACCGATGAGCCACCATGAGCAGATGTCCCTGGAGGCAGAGCTGTCTCACCACTGTATGTCCCTCACGTCCTTCAACATAGCACTGGCTGCTGAGAGGCACAGGTGTCGTCTCAGGGAGCTGGGTGAGCCTGTAGACACCCTCGGAGCCCGGTGCCCTGCTGCACCCCCATCCACGTCAGTTCCTGGTGTGTATTCTCCCCTTTCACCACCAACATGCACAGAGGCCGCATTCTCTCTGGGGTCCAGACCGTGTGGCGTCCCTGTCCTCCACTAGGAGTCCAGGCGGGTCCTGTGGTGTGAGCTGCGTCTGCTTCCGTGAGTCCACTGGCCCCCATCATGTAATTGCATCCCCTGTGTCTGTCCCAATGCCATGCAGGCTTCTTACCTGGCACCCAGCCATCCTCACAGACTATACCCCCTCCACCCCCCTGCCAAGACCTCAGCCTCACTTGTCACTTCACACACAGCGTTCACCTTTAAAAGGAAGGGAAAACCAACAGGGATGACCACACTAGCACCTCCAGTCCTTGAAGCCACCCTCTGAAAAGCCTGGGCTGCCACAAGGGGCCTTGTCTGCTCAGGACCCTCTCCTCCAACAGCCAGCTTTGCCTTGGCATAGACCCAGAGGTGAGAATCCCCCAGCCCCAGTACCTTCTGCTGGACGGCTGCCGGGCCCTGGGCAGCCTGTGGCTGGATGGCCTTCTGCTGCTGGACGGCCTGCTGTTTCAGCTTCAGCAGCTGCTGCACATGCACGGGCTGGGCCACCACGGTCTGTCCTGCAGGCAGCAAAAGCCACTTAGTCAGCACATTGGGGAAAGAGCTCGAGGCTCACGCCAAGCTGTTCCAACGGACTCACCTCTACAGAAAATAATAAACTATGAAACTCTATGGAGACAAGTAAGCCATCCCGTAACTACATTAAAATGTTTCTGGATTCACAAATTACACTTAAATTAAGATGGAAATTTCAAAATGTCAACAGTTCAACTGAGGACCAAGCCTTGTGCCTGGAAAGCGCCAAGGCACGTTTGTGCTAGAACATGTGACGGCACGCTCAAGTGGGTGGGTGCGAGGAAAGAACACAGGTTGCTGGCGACCACTGCCACCAGAGAGGCCTATGAAACTGGGCTCAAGCCCAGGAGGGGAGGGTGTGCTGGGGCCGGCACCTGCTGCCTTCTGTGGCTGACCGATCGCCACGCTGATCCCCGCGACGTTCATGGGCAGGGTGGTGACTCCCGGCGAGGAGACCACAGCTGCCGGGACGGACACCACTGGAGGCTTCGCCAAGGCCACCTGGGCTGGCTGGGGTGCCTGGGTCTGCATCTGCCCTTGCGCCTGCAGCTGAGAAGTGGGAACCCGGGTCTAAACAGTAGAAATAATGGGAGAGTCCAGAGAAATTCAGGACATGGTATGTCTTTCCAAATACTTCCCCACAAGAGGTCATGCCATGAGAAAATTTACAAAGATCAACAAAGTTGAAAGTAGCCCGACATAAAAGGAAAACCGAGTGATCTGCACGCCTCAGGGAAATGTCGATTCACAGGTCAGCCTGTGCTTCTGAAGCTCCCGCAAGACCTGCAGGCTCATCACACATGCTGCTGCGTCCAGATGTCCGTGATCTCGTGGGACATCACCTTCACTTCCCTCCATCTCCCGAACCGCACCAGTAACCACATCCTGACCCATTTCCCACAGAAGCCTTCACTTCCTGTTCCTTCAGCGACCACCCAACATCGGCCCGTCCCTCACTTCAAAATGACTGCCACAGCCTCCCGTCCCACACATTTTCTCTTAAATTACTATTTTAAAAATGGTAAGTGGAAATAGCTCTATTGTTGTATGTATAAAGACTAAGATTACGTAAGAAAATACAAAGTAAAAATTACCCACACTCCTCGAACTACTCACATCTGAATGTTAAAACTGGTATTTAGCCTTCAGCCACTGTTCATATCCAGGTGGCTCACCGTGAAAGTGTGCAAAAGTGACATGAATCATAAATATTTTGAAATCTGTTTCTCTTCCCTTTACCAAAAACCACTTTCAAAGTTGCTTAATATTCCATTGTTTGGATGATACATAATTTACTTAATGAAATTCTTAGTAATGGATATTTAATTTCCTCTAACATTCATGAAGCAAACAAGCTTGTATATTCATCACTTTGTAAATGTTCTGTTATTTCTCTAGGACATAAGAGGAGTGTTTAGTTAACTAAGCAAGCACATTTTTATAGCTTAATTACCAAAATCCTCTCCAAATAGAGGCCACTGATTCCTGTCCAACAAGACCCCTATACCCTGGCCACTACTAGGTGTTACCATTCTTCTCAGTGAATTTGCATTTTTGTGAACATGATTGAAACTGAGCACCCTTTTGTAGTTTTTCATCCACTTCTACTCACTCTGTTGTGGAGGGCTAGTCCCTCCCAGGGAAGACCCAAAGTGGGGGTCCAGCACCCACACAGCTGAGCCTGAGCACCCAGGTCCCCAAATCCTAGCTTGAGATGCAGCTGACTGGTTGTGGAATTTGGGTGGGAACTTAGCCTATGTGCCTCAGTTTCTCAACCTATAAAATGGAATTAATAGTAAGACCCTTATCCCTGTCTGGGGCAGTCCATGAGCGCTGGGCCAGGTGAAAGACACAAGAGAACAAAGGGCAAAGTCTAGCTCAGGGTGAGCCTCTATCAGGGCAGCTGTCACCAGCACCCCTAGCTAAGCTCTGCTCAGGGTGCAGGGACCCTGCCTGCCCCGGGACGCTGGCACCTGCTGAGAGCCAGTCTTCCCAGACAGCACTTGTGCCTGATGCTAGTCCCTTCTGAAATCTCCAAATGCTCTCCTGCCTCCAGCGGTCACCTGAGAGCAGCTTCAGAGACGGCTACCTACCCATGCCTACGGCTTACATGCACAGCGCCCTCTGCTCCAGCCACGCAGGCCTTGGTCCCCGCATGCTCCCTCAGCAGCACAGGGACGCCACGCAGGCTGCACCTCACCTTGCTCACGCTCCACCCACCCCCGTTCAGGCCCTGAGAAGCTTGCTGATGCCTGGATGGCCTCTGGGAGCTGCTGCTGTGTTAATGCTCCACAAGTGGTGAGTCCTGTCCTCTGTCCAAGGGGCACTAAGTTCTTGGGGAAAAGATCCCATCTCACACTCACTCCTGTAACACGTGACACGCAGCCGAGCAAGCACAATAGCTGTGTTAAAACTTGGAAAACAAACAGAAACTGACACTTACGAGCCGGGCCACCTGGAGGTTGGCCACGGTGGTGCCCGTCAGCAGGGCTCCAGGCCTCGGGGCCGTGACCGTGGTGAGCTGAGGGCTCTGCTGCTGCGGGGGCTGTGAGGCCTGCACCTGCACTTGGGCTGTTGGCTGCGGGGGCGCAGACTGGGCCTGTGGCGGTGGGGGCTGCGGAGGCATCTGCAGTTTCTGCTTCTGCATTTTGATGAGGTGTTCCTAAAATACAAGCAAAGTATCTTCTCTTCAACATTAACTGTGCTCCATTCTTAAGTAGACATCTTGATCCTAAGCCACCCCTCTACTGCCCACTAAATACCAAAGCAGGCACCTGCTACTGTGCAGCATCCAGACTGCCTCCTATGGGCTGCCCAGTATCTTTTAGGTGTTCATTTATTAAAAATAAGCATTTTGTCAGGTGAAAGCTACAAACAGGGATTCTGACTGATAAGTTCATAGCAAAATTTCTATTATCCCTCACAAACAAGTCGATTTAAATCTGTAGTGCCAACCAAACTTATTTATTAGTTTATAAGTTCAAAAAACATTTTAAGAAAAAAATTTTTAAGAAAACCTATAATGAGTTGATCAGGACTATCAAGTGTCTTTTGAAAGGCTGGAAGTGAAACTGGCTTTGAAATGGATTTGGGAGAGGGCAGAGTGAGGAACGAAGGAGCCAGGCAAACACCTGGCACACAGGACTCCTGGCAGCCAAGGCTGGGTGGCAGCCTTGACGTTGAAGGCACTGGTGTCTCAGTGGTTGAACAGGGGCAGGTGACAAGGCACCTGTGTGGCTGTGGGCCGGGGGGTCAAAGCCCAGCTCTGGCTCCGATAGTTGCCTCTGCTGGGCCTGGAGTTCCTGAGCACAGCGTTCATATTTAGCACTCTCCAGCGGCACTTCCTGCAGGATACAAGTGGGCTAGACGGGGACTGCCCAGGGTGGTAGCCACAGCCACATATGACCACGGAGCCCTCGAGGAATGGCTGGTGTGACAGGAACAGGATAAGCTCGATGTCTAAATTCCACCAACAGCCCTGCCAACAGCCCCAGGACAGGCCCTCAGCTGAGTCTGTGTCTCCCGCAGCCCACTTCCTCCCTTCTAGACCATGGAGAGGCCCAGACTCAAGCACTCCGGCAGGCCCAACAGTGAGCTGAAACTTCAAAATATTGTCTTGTTTTCATTCCATATATTTCTCTGGTTACTTTCTATGACAAGTATTAATGGTTTTCCATTTATGGTAGGGGTATAACATTTCCTTTTTTTTTTTCCTTTGAGACAGAGTCTCATTCTGTCGCCCAGGCTGGAGTGCAGTGGCACAATCTCGGCTCACTACAACCTCTGCCTTCTAGGTTCAAGCGATTCTCGGGCCTCAGCTAGGATTACAGGCACCCGCCACCACGTCCGGCTTTTTTATTTTTAGTAGAGACAGGGATTCACCATGTTGACCAGGCTGGTCTCAAACTCCTGACCTTAAATGATCTGCCCACCTCGGCCTCCCAAAGTGCTGGGATCACAGGCATGAGCCGCTGCGCCCAGCCCAACATTTCCTTTTAAAATGAATACATTTACATAAAGAACAGCAAAGCTGGTACAGAGGTTAGCAAAAATCAGGTACATCAGTACCCCAATGACCACCTCTGAGAAACAGTACTGCACACGAACCACACCGAAACAAACCCAGGGTCCATTGCCTGCTCTCCCAACACTGTGAGGAATGCCTTCTCACCAGCACTTTCTCTGGTCCAGAACCGCACCAAGTGGGCTGCCTAGTCCTCCCCAGAGACTGATGCTGAACACAAGGCACAAGACCCCTAAGCAAGAAGACACATTTGCACGCTGGGTGTTAATGTCTTCAAAGTGCTCTGAATACGCGTAAGATACTTCTCTAAGGCATGATCAAAGTGTTATGACATGGGAAGTTTTAGATCAATAAAACGAAGCACGCGTCCTACAAAAAGGCAGTGCTAGACGTTTGCAAAATACACTCTGGACTGCACCATGCAAGCAGGCACCACCTCACAGACGCTGGGCTGACTGACCACAAGACGCACACGTCCATGGTCCTCCGGGAAAATGCTCACCGGCGTCAGCTTGCCCACAGCTTTGATCTGTGCTGGAGACTGGGCCTGGCCTTGGATCTGCGGAACTTGCACCTGAGAAGTCGTCGTCTGCTGCTGCTGCTGCTGCTGCTGCTGCTGTTGCTGCTGCTGCTGCTGTTGCTGCTGCTGCTGTTGCTGCTGCTGCTGCTGCTGCTGTTGCTGATGCCTGAGAAGCTGGAAATGTGCAGGTGTGATGGTTTTTCCAGGGAGCTGAACTCCTGTGGCTATGAAGAGGTTTGCTCATTAGGTCTGGACAGGGATACTCGCCCACCTTCAGATCCTCATTCTCAGAAAGCAAGCAGCAGCTGAGCCCTCACACGTGCCACAGCAGACGCGTGTCAGAGAAAGCTCCCAGCCTGGCTTTACCTTGGGACACCTGGGGCACCAAAGACCGCGCCGGGGTCTGCACTGGGGTCAGGCTGGTAGTGACCACGGCCGAGGCTGTCACAGAAGTGACTGCTCGAACACCCTGAGTCGTCGTCATGGACACCAGGTCAGGGGTCGCCGTGGCTGGGGAGCCGACTGCCCGTGGCGGGGGCTGGGTGTGCACCACCTGGGCAGGAGCAGAGCCTCCCGGCGTCTAGAAAAGGCAAACAGAGGACCTCATCAAATATTTCACACAGCACTCAGGGCTGTTCACACTCAGAGCAGGGCAGACAAGAGCACCCAACTTCAGAGGCGAAACAAGTGAAACACACGCTAGAGTTCAGTCTTTTGACAACTGCTGATTTCACGTGTCAATTCAAAAGCAAGTGCCTTGAGCAATGTTTTCTTACAGCGGATCACATCACCCACAGAAACGCGGTTGAGATGACGACACTCCCATGCATATGCTGAAAAGGCTGTCCTGTCCCTCCCTCTCTGCACAAAGACCTCTTGGTCCCCAGGAACATAATGACTGTCCTTGCGGCACCCATGCTACCCACAGACACGCAGCCCACAGCCCTGGCTCTACCACCGCCCCCATCTGTGCTGACACTACAGCCCCGACACAGCCCACAGCCCTGGCTCTACCACCGCCCCCATCTGTGCTGACACTACAGCCCTGAGTCTCTCACCATGTGCTTGGGGTCTTGTGGCATCTTACCTTCATCTTGCCTAAAATTCAGAGCATCCTCACTGTGCCCTGCAGTCGACTCTGGCCCGCAGGCAGAAGTGGCAGCCAGAGTGGCTCCCTCACCCTATCTCGCCCCACCACCCTTCCTTGTCCCACCATAAACTGGAAGGCAAACGCAGCCATGCCACCTCTGCAATGTCTCTTCAGCTGGCCTCTACCAGCTCCCTTGGTTCTGATGTGCCGTGTATTTTTAGTCTGTCTTGATCCTTTTACGTCTCACTGCTTATGCATCTGGATGGAAATCTAGCATGTCACTCCGTGTTTTCCACTCAACCCAGCTGCTGCATGCTTCTTTTCATCTCCTTTCTTGCCTCCTCTCAGATGACTCTTTCCTCACCAACGTCCCCTGCCATGGTTGGGAGCAACTCGCTCTGCTCTCGCTCTTCTGGTGGCTCGTCTGGAATTACCACGGATGCTTGCCAAAGTCTAAACGCTCCATGCTCTTCCTAAACAGTAACGAGACCTGTGCACACTTCAGCCCCTCTGCCCCTTCCCCAGCTTGCATGTTACCATCCTGTGTATTTATTTCCTCTTTCTAACCCCAGCGAGCTCTTGCGTTCATCCACGAGCCAACCTTGTTACCACCTCCCGCTGGGAACACCTTTCTTCTGCTTAAAGCATATCATTCAGTGAAGTTCCAAAGTTGAAAACTGCTTTATTTTGCCGTTTTTTGTTGCTCTTTTTTTAGACAGAGTTTTGCTCTTGTTGCCCAGGCTGCACTGCAATGGCGTAATCTTGGCTCACTGCAACCTCCGCCTCCAGGGTTCAAGCAATTCTCCTGCCTCAGCCTCCTGAATAGCTGGCATTACAAGCATGCGCCACCACGCTCGGCTAATTTTGTATTTTTAGTAGAGATGGGGTTTCTCCATGTTGGTCAGGCTGGTCTCGAACCCCCGACCTCAGGAGATCCGCCCACCTCGGCCTCCCAAAGTGCTAGGATTATAGGTGTGAGCCACCACACCCAGCCTCCCTTGTTCTTTAAGATATTTCCAAGAACTGCAGAGCCCCAGGCTGGCAGCAACTTCCTTTCCCTGGCACGACGACGACACCTGCTGGCTCCCGGCCTCACTGCTGCCACTGGCAAGCGCGCCGCTCCACCTCTGAAGGCAATCTGTCTCTTCCTGTGGCTGCTTGAAAGACCTCTTGGTCACTGGCATTATGCAGACCAGACTTGGTTCCTTTTTCTCATCCTTGATTGGGATTAGACTTTCTACATAAATGCATCAGTGTCATTAGTAAGTTCTTAAAAACTATTCCGTCTTCAAATATTGACTCTGCTTAATTTTCTGTCTGACAGTCAGTAACCACCTATCAGGCCCTGTCACCATGTCCTCCATGTGTCATCTTGTCATCCCATGTCGCGTGTAGGATGTCTTCTGATTTTGCCTCCACTTCCCTCATTTTCTCCTCAATTGTGTGATACTAAAGCCCACTCATAAGTTTGGTTTGTTTCCCCCAACTAGGGTAATCAGACTTTTCTAAAAGTTCTCTATATTCTTTCTATACATAGTTTCCTGATTACAGACATTCAGATATTCTCAATCTTCTCTTTTATTTCCTTAAAATAGAAAGCATAACTTCTTTTTTTATTTTTTAACGGAGTCTCACTCTGTCACCCAGGCTGGAGTGCAGTGGTGTGATCTCGGCTCACTGCAACCTCCGCCTCGCGGGTTCAAGCGATTCTCCTGCTTCAGCCTCCCGAGTAGCTAGGACTACACACGCGTGCCACCACATCTGGCTAATTTTTTTTTTTTGTATTTTCAATAGAGATGGGGTTTCATCGTGTTAGCCAGAATGGTCTCTGTCTCCTGACCTTATGATCCACCCTCCTTGGCCTCCCAAAATGCTAGGATTATAGGCGTGGGACACCGCGCCCAGTCTGAAAGCCTAACCTTTAAAATCTAAACCTGATAATCCCAATATCGCTCATCTTTGCAGGCCTATCCAGTGTCTGCCATTCCGCTGATTCTCACTCACAATGCCTTTTCTTTTCTGTTTAGTTATTTTGTATTCTATTATATTGTATTATACTAGAAAACTATTTGTGGAGATTCTCAGAAGTCAAGAAAGCATAATCCTCCAGAGAGAATCTGCATTTGTTCCTGGTCGGCTGCACAGGAACACGCCCAGTGAAGCAGGTCTACTTCATTTGATGTGAGGGAGTGCCGGAGACACTCTTAAGGTAATACCAACTTGAACTGCAAACTGACCTGTGGCTTCAACCTCTCAGGGGCCGTCCCCACCGTGCTCCACTGCTCAATCCAAGGGCAACTCTTCTTTTGACCCCTGAAGGCCAAGGGCAGATGGATTCTGCTTCTGGTTCACTCTTGCCCTAAGAGTTTAGCCACCTGGGAGCCTACCTCGGTGTATCAGCAGTTTCCTTTTTAGATTCTCCACCTTGGCCCAGCCTTGGACTTGAATTTGAGTTCCCTCATCCCACAGGCTGAAATTTATTTTCAAGGCAAACATGACTTCAATGAATCCTGTTTCTCTCTCTGAGTTTCTTCCCTCCCTTAGATTTGGGCCTGATAACTAATTATTCTTGTCAGTTCCCTGAAGCTTTAAAAATGTTTATCTAATAACTTCAGTTATTCTCATTAAGAGGTGATATAAAAATAACTTAACTCATCTTGTTACCAGAAACAGAAGTCATCCTTTTCTGGACTAAACAGTTTTCACATCCAAACTACTAAGGAAGCTGAGGCGGGAGGATTACTTAAGTCTGTGAGTGTGAGGCTGCAGCGAGCTGTGATTGCACCCCTGCACTCCAGCCGGAGCAACAGCAAGATGCTGTCTCAAAAAAAAAAAAAAGAAAAGAAAAAAAGAAATCATTTTGTCCTTAGCCTCTTCTACCCTAATCAATTCTAGATATGTAGTATCACATTAATCTTCCTAGAACATCTCTCTGCTCGAAGACCGTTAAGGGCTCCCCACTGCCTAGTGAATAAAATCCGTATCTAGGCTGGGCGCAGTGGTTCGTGCCTGTAATCCCGCACTTTGGGAGGGTGAGGTGGGTGGATCACGAAGTCAGGAGTTCAAGACCAGCTGGGCTAAGATGGTGAAACCCCCTCTCTACCAAAAATACAAAAATTAGCCAGGTGTGGTGGCAGGCACCTGTAATCCCAGCTACTTGGGAGGCTGAGGCAGAGAATTGCTTGAACCCAGGAGGCGAAGGCTGCAGTGAGCTGAGATCACGCCACTCCGAGATCGCGCCACTACACTCCAGCCTGGGTGACAGAGCGAGACTCCATCTCAAAATAAAAAACAAAACAACAACAACAACAACAACAAAAAACCATATAGCCCAATATCCAAAGACCAGTACAATCTAACCTCAATATTACAAAGTGCCAAGCACACAGAAGCCACTCAATAATAATGGTTTTAAAGGCAGGGAACCACTGTTTCTCTGTTAATATCTTTTGTGTTCCATTCAAACAGAACAACACGTCATTCTCCATGCACACCATTCCCTTCCCCTCAGACCCCCCGCTCACACGACTGGCCCTGCCTTCAGAAGGGCCAATTCTGTGGATGATGCACTTCCTGTCCTCCTGAAGCCCAACATCACTTTCTCCTGAAAGCCTTCTCTGAGTCCCCCGAGTACAATCACCTACATGTCCACCACTGCTATCTGCACCTCTCTCACGTTCTAGCCACAGCACTACAAGGCCCCATGAAAGCACACTGTGTCTTGGGCCCACAGTGCCAGGAAGAATGTCTTGTCCATTAAGAGCCACACAAAAATATGTCATGAATGAAATGCTTTAAAGTTTAAAATACCACAAAGAACAGGTCTTTTTCAAAATAAAACGCTAAATGCAGTGATTCTGGCTTGGTACCCTCACAGAAACAGTGGTATTGGTCATACAGGATATTCCCAACGCCACAGGCCTAACAACTTCTACTATCTACTGCAGCGACTGAGCCTGAGGTTGTTTACTGCAAAGCACAAAGAAAAGTGAAATAATCTTAAAGTTACATACTAGAAAAACCGTGTGTTTTTATATATTCTACTGCTTAAGAGTGTTTTACAGGGATTTATTGAAGGGTAATTTACAGAGAGTACAATATGAGGTTCTATGAATTTTGACAGACACATTATCATCATGTGGCTACTGCCACGACCCCACCACTCCCAACGTTCTCATATTCCTCTCCATAGTCGAGCCCCTCCCGCATCTCCAGCACGTGGCATTCATTCATCTGTTTTTTCGTCTCTCTAGTTTTACCATTTTTATAATGTTATTTAAATGGAGTCATACAGCATATGAAGCCTTCTGAAACTGTTCATTTAGCTGCAAAATGTATCTGAGAGTCCTCCACGGAGGTGCATGTCTCAGGGGTTCATTCTTTTGTATTCCTTGGTAGGACTGGGCTGTACGAATGTACATGGTTTATCAGCCCATCCACCAGGGCATTTAGGCTGTTTTCTTTTACAGCAATCCTGAATAAAGTCACTATAAATATTGGTGTTGAGGGTTCTCGTTCTGGTGTTTTCACTTCTCTTGGGGAAATACCTAGCAGCAGAACTGCTAAGCTGCATGGTAAGGGTATGCTTGGTTTTATAAGAAAAAATGAAACTGTTTTCAGAAGTGACTGTGGATTCTGCATTCCCACAGCCTTGTGAGAGAGTCCTGGCTACTTCCATTACTGCCAGCCTTCTGTTTCTGAAGCCACTCTCCTAGGCACATTATGCTGTATCACTGTGGTTGTAAAACTCTGCATTTCCTTAATGACTAATGACGTTGCACGCCTTTCCAAGTATTTATCTAATTCTTCTATCTTCTTGGTGAAGTGATTGCTCCATCTTCTGCCCATTTTATAAAGTTGCTTGTTTTCTCACTATTGAGTTGAAGAATCTTTATATTTTCTCCCAGTCTATGCTTTTCATTTTCTTACTATTTTTCAAGGACGAGAAGTCCTTAATTTTGATGAAGCCTAATGTATTAATTTTTCTTCATGATTCATAGGCTTCCGGTATCCTAAGAAATCTTTGCCTAAACCAAAGTAGCACAGATTTTCTCCTAGAAATGTTACTGTTTTGGCTTACAGTGTAGTTTTTGCTTTTACATGCAGGCCTGTGATCCACCTGCAGTGACTTTCATATTCAGTGTGAGTTACAGGCCAAGGCTCATTGTTCTGCACATGGCCGCCCAACTGTTACAGCACCGTTTGCTGACAAGACAGTCTGTTCACCTCTGAATTTCCTTGGCACTTTTACTGAGGTCAACTGAAAATCTGTGTGTGTGTGTGTGTTGGGGAGGGGTCTATTTCTGGACTCTATCCAATTCCATCATCCACACATCTATCCTGCCAATGCCCCATCACCTGCTACTATAGCAACGACATCTTTACAGGAAAGACGCTTTTTAAAACCCAAGAGAGACTGCATTCTACTTGCCAACGCACTGACTTTGAAGCATGGTTTCTTCTCATTCAGGGTGTGTTGCCCCTGGGTCTGTGAACTATTTGGAAAATCGAGATACAAATCTGAGCTCCTTATTCTCACTTGTGTTTGGTTCTGATGATGAAAAACCCAAGTGAAGCAGTGGTCCCAGGGCACCACATGGCTCTGCACCTTTGCCTGGGCACTTCCTCTCCACCTGCGTGGGCTGCACCTACCACTTCCCACACCTGGGGCCTCCACGTTCCGTAGAAACTGCCCACTCCTCCCATGCCCGCCTGCTCCTGGCACGCACCCAGCCATGCCCTTGTGTGATGCCGTGTCCCTTCCCCCAAAACCTCGCCCCCAAGAGGCCCGTCATCTCTCAGCTTCCCCACATGGGCACAGTGATCAGCATATGGGGGGCACCTGCGGCAACAGAATCAGCAGCGGACCCTCACATCCCACCTACCTCCTACCTAAAATCATCCTACAGGGAGGGGACCCTTCACACACACACACACATACCCCCTCCTACACTTCACACACACACCCCTACACCTCACACATACCCCTACACTTCACACACCCCCTACACCTCACAAACATACACCCCTACACTTCACACACTCCTACACCTCACACATACACCCCTACACTTCACACACACACCCCTACACCTCACATACACCCATACCTCACATACACCCCTACCTCACACACATCTACACCTCACACACCACTTCTACACCTCACACATACACCTGTACAGCTCACACACCCCTACACCTCACACACACCCCTACACCTCATACACCCGTACACCTCACACACACCCCTACACCTCACACACCCCTACACCTCACACATCAGGTACACCTCACACACCCCTATACCTCACACACACACCCTATACCTCACACCCCTACACTTCACACACACACCCCTATAACTCACACACACCCCTACACTTCACACACCCCACACCTCACATACACCCTACCTTCACACACACACCCCTACACCTCACACCCCTACACTTCACACACCTCCTACCTCACACATACCCTACACTTCACACACCCCTACACCTCCCACACCCTTCCACCTCCCTACACCTCACATGCCTACATACACACCCCTACCTCACACACCCCTACACTTCACCTCCCACCCTCCCCTTCCCCTACTTCCACACCCTACACCTCACACACACCCTCCACACTTCACACACCTACACCTCCACACACACACCCCTATATTTCACACACCCTACACCTCACACACACACACCCTATACTTCACACACCCCCTCACACATACAACCCTACACTTCACACACCCCTATACCTCACACATACACCCCTACACTTCACACACCCCTACACCTCACACACACACACCCCTATACTTCACACACACCCCTACACCTCACACACATACACCCCTACACTTCACACACCCTACACCTCACACACATACACCTACAACTACACACCCTACACCTCACACTTACACCACATACACACCCTACATACACACACCCCTACACCTCAACACACACACCCCTATACACCCCTACACCTCAAACACACACACCCCTATACTTCACACCCCCCCTACACCTCACACACATACACCCCTACACTTTACACACACATATCCCACCTCATTTTCATCCCTCATAGAGAATGGAAACCATCCCCCAAACAGGTGAATGTTTCTGAAATCAACATACTGATCAGCTACTTATTTTATGAAATTCAAATTAGACAGTTTTTTCACCAATGGAATACTTAAAAATAATAAGAAGAATTAACAGACAAGTAAATAATTTCGGCGGAATGCAGTCAAGGTGCACGACCCAGGTGAAGGGCGACTCACAGTCAAGGCTCCAGGAGCCACTGGTGACGCCAGGCGCTTGTTGATGGACTGGAAGGTGGCAGCCGGGACCCCTGCGATGGTGTTCACGATCACATTTCCACTCACGGTGCCTGTGGAGACAGGTGGGCATAAGGCAACAGTGCCAGGAGAAATGGGGTCCACATTTCAGCATCTCTGTATTTGTCTTACCAGTGGGTATGCTTGTCCCAGTAACTGATGTTTTAATGGTTCCTGCCTATTTAAAAAAAAAATTTGAATTTCATGTCAGGCTCTCCCCCACATAAACACTCCAAAGGCTTCCACTTCATTCAGAATCAAATCAAAACTCCCAGACATTCACACAGCCACCCGTCCCAACCTCCCCAACTCATTCCACCTGGCGGTGCCCCCACCATCTGTCTACCTGCTATCCCTCCACCCCTATCCCACTGTCCCTCTAGCCCCACCCCACTGACCCTCCACCTCTACCCCGGGGTCCCTCCATCCCCACCCTGCTGACCCCACACCCCACTGTCCCTCTACTCCTCTGTCTCTCCACTCCATTCATCCACCCTCTGTATCTCACCACCTGAGTCCAGCCACACTGACCTTTCTGGCCCCCATATCAGCCAAGCTCAGGACCTCTGTACTTGCTGTGTGTGTTCTTCTCATGACAAATCCTTGTCACTCAGGCCTTAGCTCAAATGCCAACTCCTCAGAAAGGTGTTTCCTCACAAGCCAGCTCCACACTGTGCCACCCTGACTCCTCCCACCAGCATTTAAAATGATCTCTTTGGCTGCCTCCCTCCCCTGCAGAACATGGCTCCAGAGTGTGGGCACTGCCCATCTTGCCCACCTTGCACCAAGTAGGCATTCACAAAGATCTCTTTTGAATAGATGAGGAATGAAGTTGCCTGAGTACATTGAAAATTCCACAACAACAAACAATTTTCTAAAAACTACTGCAGGAAATGGTTCTATGTAACAAAAATGTTTTTATGCCTGCCTGGTAGTCCAAAGTGTGGGTTTTCCCAATTTGGCACAGCTCCTATTCTCTGCAGGTGTGATTCTCTGCATATGATTTCAGCTCTGTGTGGCACATGGACACACACAGTACAGAGATGCACCAGAGCGTGGTGCGCACGGCCACAGTCTGCAGCTCCACACCCTGCCTTTCTTTTCACAATGCTTCTCGTGCACTTTACAGCTTTTCTACAACATGCATTAAAGACTGATGTGTATGAGTGAGCACACATGGGCAGGCTTTCAGGAGACACCAGCACAGACAGGACCTGCTCCCTAAGTGTGTAGGAAGTCAAGAGGTAAATGCGTCACAGGTATGTTTAGGTATGTTTTACAAAACCCAGGCAATTCCAAACTTCCCAGCCACCTCCACTAAAAGGAGCTGCCTCTACCTGCCAAATCCAATAAAGCCACTAAGCCCACAAAAGCCTTGGAGGAGTGAAATGGCAGAATCTGGGTGAAAACACACAATTCCTCTGGGGTGAGACTAAGCCTTTTCCCATTTCTTCAGAGGAAGGTCTACAGCCTAGAAATGTGTTAGAACTGGCAACAAGCTTCGTTTTAACAGAAAGCACTTGAATCAAGTGTGGGTGGGGGTGACTTCCTGTGGAGGGGAAGCCCGTGAGGAGGTCCCTGCTCACCAGCACGGCCGCGCTGCCCCCCGTCGTGATTGCGGGCTGCGCCTTCGCTGGGGCCTGCACAGGCTGCGTCTGGGTCTGGGGCTGTGGCTGGGGTTGAGACTGGACAGCTGGTGGCCCTGCTGGTGGCTGGCTGCCCGCTGCCTGTGGTTGTGGCAGTGGTGGTGGTGGCTGCTGCGGGGGTGGCGGGGGCTGCGGCTGGGGCGGGGGCGGCTGGGCCACGGCCGGCTGCTGTGCCTTCTGCTGATCAGCCAGAGCCTGAGGGGCAGGGAAGGAAGAGGAGCCACTGGAGGGGCGGACCCGGCCTGCACACCCCCTGGATGAAGTCACAGCCACCACATTTTCCCACTCAAGCAGAAGGGCCCAGGGCGCTGACCTTTTTCTCTTTTGCGATTCGCTCTGCACGGAGAGACGCCACCTGGATGGGAGGCAGTGGCTTGTCATAGTTGATTCCACTGAAAGACAGACGCAAAGGTTAAAAACATATAGGCAAATGTTAAGATGGACAAGTACCAAGTACCCTAGAAACCCCATGCTGCCAGGTGCTGGGGCAGCTCCAGCCCAGCCCAAGAGAGGAGGGCATAAAGCAAGGTGCCCGACGTGCCCTGCAGGAGATCGAGCCACCTGGACCTTGTCCTCAGCCTGGCGCCGAGTCCTCTTCCCTGAGGCCGAGCTCTCCCATGCTCCAGGAGAAGTATCTCTGAACACATCCCCAGGGTAACTGGTGGCAGCCGCCAAAACGCACAGCCCACCTCATGTGCCTGCACTGTACTCAGGAAAATCACTGTCTGTTCATTCTGTGAGGACGCCCTCCAGTGAGGCAAAGGGAGGGCGGGACTGAGCCTGTCTCACTCCCCTGGGAATGCCCAGGCTCCACGCCGTGCAGGCCCGCAGCAGGTCCATAAATATTAGTTGGGTGAATTAACTCTTCATTTAATCGACAACATAAATCAAACGCCTGGTCTGTGCTCCCAGACACTAGAGTCCCAACAATCATAGCACTCACATCAGACAACAAACAGGTAAAACGTGCAGTAGGTCTGAAGACGTATACTGACTGCTATGAAGGAAAACAGCAGGGTAGGGCTGCAATTCTCAACAGTATGCTCTGAAAACATCTCACGAGGGTGGTTAAGTGAAGGCCTGAGGCGCGGCTGCCAGCACACCCAGGGAGCACCAAGGGGCCGAAAGCCAGGGTCAGGCGACTCAGAGCATGGGCAGGAGGGAGTCCTGGGGGCTTGAGGAGATGGGCCCTGGGCCAACTCCCTCTGACAAGGATCACTCCACCACTGTGTGGAAAGGGAGCCACAGAACAAGGAAGCATCCCAAATCTGCCACTGTGTGACAACAGTGCCTAAACCAGATGCACACCATTTCATCCCAGCATTTCCAACATTTATGGGAAGAGTCGGACAGTCAGAAACACAGCAGACACCCACGTGCCTGGCACTAAGGTTCCACACTGGGGTTTCGCCATCCAATTCTTACCCCATTTGCTTTCTTGCATCTACCCACTTCTCTACCTATCCATTCATCCATTCCTCTTTTCCCCTGTAGAACTTCAGGGCAAATACACACACCCCTAAACATGATGTGTTCTTAAGATATGGCTAACAAAATCAGTGCCTGAGAGGTGGGGTGCAAGGAAGAAAGCCCCTTGTGGTTGGCCACATGGCCCTGGCACACTCATCATGTCTGTCAGCGTCTTTCCCCACCGAGGGCCAGCAAGGACAATCCCTGTAACACAGAGACAGGGCAGGGGCCGTCCCATGCACACCCCAGCCCACGGCAGGAGAAGCACCATCTCTCCCGCAGGTTCTGCGCACTGCCATGTCCAGCTGATGCCTGAACACACTAAGTGCACAACGATTTGCTGAACTCGCTGAACTCAGATGACACTGGAATGAAATCCTTCCAAACAGTAACAAATGTGTCATGACTAGAGAAATACCTTTCTGCCAACACAGACGCGTGCTTGGGGTTCTTCTGAAAGGGATTCATGCCAAGCCTGCAGTATAGATGGTGAGACAGTAATTATTAAATAAAGGAAATATCTGAAGAAGCGTTATGTTAAAAATACATCAAAACCAAGCTTCACGCAATCTACTCAGTCATAATTAACATAAAATGAGCACTCAGGAAACATACAGAGGTTTGATTGGGGGGCTCCTCTTGCCCGCAGTCATTTTCATTAAGTCAAAGTGGCTCGTGTACAGTTGGGTGTGTGTGGCATTCTCATCCTGGGCATAGATCTGGCTCGTACGGAGAGGACGGTTGTTTTTACTCTGCAACAAAATTGACGAGAGTGCATCTGAATTAGGCAGCATGGACAGATGGCTGCGCGGGACACAGGCCTCACTGGGTGGGAATCTGAGACTAAACTCCCCATGGCTGAACACAAACTTTCCTTTCCTGGGCCTTCTTTCCAAGTCCAGGCATAACCCAACAGCAGCAGCATTAAGTGGCTGTCACGGCCAACTGCTATGACACTCCCCCGTCCATGCTAACCCTTTCCAGGTGTTCTCTCACATAAGCCCCATAATCACCTAAAGAGGGAGAGGGAGGCCGGGTGCGGTGGCTCACGCCTGTAATCCCAGCACTTTGGGAGGCTGAGACGGGCGGATCACGAGGTCAGGAGATCGAGACCATCCTGGCTAACACAGTGAAACCCCGTCTCTACTAAAAAATACAAAAAACTAGCTGGGCGCGGTGGCGGGCGCCTGTAGTCCCAGCTACTCAGGAGGCTGAGGCAGGAGAATGGCGTAAACCCGGGAGGTGGAGCTTGCAGTGAGCCGAGATCTGGCCACTGCACTCCAGCCTGGACGACAGAGCGAGACTCCGCCTCAAAAAAAAAAAAAAAGAGGGAGAGGGAACAAAATAGGTGTGCAAAGTGCCCGAGGTCACACGGCAGGTAACCGTGTGGAGCAGGCTGTGAGCCTTCACCCGGTAACACCAAGGGGCAGTGCGGACCGCCATGGACACCACTGTCCTCTGCCCATGGTGGACAGTGAGGCTGCTGCATGCCCAACGGTGTCTCAAGGTACATTCTTGGGGGTCTTTAGCAGTGCTTATGCCTGGCAGTCCTTCCTTCATAAATTGCACGGCTAAACAACGGGCCACTCAATTGTGGGCTACTTGCTCCCAAGACATCTTAGCATCCTGCAGAATTTTAAAGTAACTCCTTATCCTGTGAAGTGAACAGCCATCCCAGGAATGCTCTCTGTGCAAGGTCACAGAGGTAGTGACAAGTCAAGACCAGGGCTCAAGCACCTCCTTCCTTGCCCAGGGCTCTTCCCCCATGCTCCTCTAAACTCCGGTCAAAGAGAGTGTGCCAAGGCGAAAACCAAGACTCTCACATGACACAGCAGCACAGGCCCAGGTACAGGTGTGTCTGCGCATGTACAAGCACACATGTCTGTGTGCACACGTGTCCTCTACTGCTAGAGGAATGCCCTAAATTCTGAAGGCAACACTAAGGACAACCAGAACTAGAAACCAACATGCAAGGCCACAGCAGTCTCCTCCCAGAACACTGTGCCATACAGGGAAGCATTCTCCTCCTATCTATCGTCCTAAGAGTGAGCAAAGGGAGGGAGGGAGAAGGGGTGCATAAGAGTAAGACCAGGTCTATCACACAAGACGCTGGATGGCTAGGTTGAGCCAGGTCAGAGGCGGAAAGACTGTGTGTCTGGTAAGGGAGCTCCTGTGCAGGCTCTCACCAGGCATGAATGCCCCATCCCACATGGCTTGCCGGAGTCCCGCAGGCTCTGAGAGGTGGGGCTGTCCCACTCACGCACACATCCGACCACTGTCACCATCAAGGGCTTCCACAGGGCGTGAGGGACATGGAGGCTCAGGATGCCCTTTAGGGGGCTGGACAAGTCACCGTGGGGTCCTCTAATGCAAAGAGTCATGGCCTCTACATACAGAATGAGAGGCCCTGGAGAAAATTCTAGGTCTCAGGTTTCTGTTGATTCCTAAAATATAGGGTAAGACTGAATCTTACTCTACGTTTCTGTGCACAGGCTCTTAACAAAGTGCTCCAACTTATTCAGAACATCACCCGCAGTCGCGGGTGGTGGCTCATGCCTGTAATCCCAACACTTTGGGAGGCCAAGGTAGGTGGATTATCTGAGGTCAGGAGTTCGAGAGTAGCCTGGCCAACTTGATGAAATTTAGGGTATTCCTCTAGCAGTAGAGGACACATCTCTACTAAAAATACAAAAATTAGCCAGGCGTGGTGGCATGCACCTGTAATCCCAGCTACTTGGGAGGCTGAGGCAGGAGAATCACATGAACCTGAGAGGCAGAGGTTGCAGTGAGCCGAGATCATGCCACTGCACTCCAGCCTAGGCAACAACAGTGAAACTCCTGTCTAAAAAAAAAAAAAAAAAAAAAAGAACATCACCCTCAAACTTTACAAATATTTTTGCCTTTTTCTCTGGATTAGCTTCATAAATCAGCTATAAAAGAAGACAATATTTTAGCTTTACTTTTTTCCATAATAAGGTAATGGCTATTATTACAAATGCTTCCAAAACACAGAAAATCTAATTAACGCAAGATTCCAGGAAGTCTTATTGGTAAAGGGACCACAAAGTGGTATTACGAAGAAAACTTGCTTTTCTACGTTCAACAACAACAACAAAAAAATGCTTTATTTTCAGATAAGTGTTTTTAGCAAAATGGAGAGAGATGACTGAAAGAGCGGGTACAGAAATAAATTAAGTGTGATGTTCGCTTCCTGAGGATGGATCTGGCTATTATGGAGAAAATGTAATTCTCACAAACTAGAAACAAAAGTAAATATAGTAAAAGTACTGGATGCCTGCCTCTACTATATCTGCCCCACCCTGCCCCATGCAAGAAGACGTGCCCACAGCTCCTGTTTGGATGGGCTCCACGAGGTGAACTGAAAGGCAGTGGTCCCCACACACCAGCATGGCAAGTGCCCTGGAAGTGGGACAGCACATCCCCTGAGGGGTGTGGACACCGGCAACGTGGGCACAGCAGAGCATGCAGACGCTGCTGGTATGGGGGCTCTGGATGCGGTCCTGAGGCGAGAAAGGCAGGCAAGCAGCAAGGAGGAGCTGCCTGAAGAAAGCCAGATGCACAATGGAGAGGGATGACTCAGTTCGGGGGAAGGCACGCCACACGCACACCTACACGTTACTGACCAGCTGCCTGGACTCTTCCGGGGCCAAGCTACAAACCACACAGCTGACTTCTTACATGAAAGACCAACGATTTGACTATACTATATGTAAACAAACACTTGCAATACTTATAGTTAACCCTGAAACACGGAATATTACGCTTGTCAAACCATTGCAGCCAGCCAGTCATTCAGTACCAGAATAGCAGAGGTACCAGTAACAGACTTTTCTTTAAGTATGCTATGATCAAAACAAAGCGAGACAGCTTATCTTTTTACTCACCCAAAAACTTCTTGAAAATGTCTGTCTATATATGACCAAGTATTTGGATGATACCCTCATTTAAGTATGCCATGATCAAAACCCAGAGAAAGGTCTTTTCATTCATCCAAAACCTTGTTGAAAATGTATATATATCGGCCGGGTGCAGTGGCTCACGCCTGTAATCTCAGCACTTTGGGAGGCCGAGGCGGGTGGATCACAAGGTCAGGAGATCGAGACCATCCTGGCTAACACAGTGGAACCCCGTCTCTACTAAAAATACAAAAAATTAGCCGGGTGTGGCGGTGGAAGCCTGTAGTCCCAGCTACTCAGGAGGCTGAGGCAGGAGAATGGTGTGAACCCGGGAGGCGGAGTCTGCAGTGAGCTGAGATCGTGCCACTGCACTCCAGCCTGGGTTACAAAGCGAAAATGTATACATATATATACGGCCAAGTATTCGGATGACACCCACACTATCTTAGAAATGACAACGGCAGTGCAAATGTTGGTATCAGATAAAACCTCAGGTATGAGGCCTGCTGCCAACACCAAGCACAGTGCGAACACCTCCATCACTGCTCATGCCATAGGCGAGGCACAGTGCAGGAACCTGACCTCGCTGGGTCCATCAGGAGCCCGAGGAGATGGACTTCACCGCAGACCCACAGGGATCAAGGAGCCCAGTCAGTGAAGAGCAGGACTGGAGCCAACACTGCAGGCCACAGCCACCACACCTGCCTGTGTTCTCCTTGGAGGACAAACGAGACCGTGCTTACCTTCCCCTCCTCTCGTGGAATGATGACGTTCTCGTAGCGATTCCGGCACTGTTTGGAAGAGCGGTAGATTCGGCTACAGGAGTTAACGACGTCACTGACAAGATCCCAATTAGGTGTGTGAGCAGGTGACACGATTGTGAGGTTCAAAGGCAGCTCCAGTAACTGCTTTACAGCCTAGAGAACGAGGTTTCAGATAAAACAGGCGAATACACTCTAAGGCAGAAGGTCTTCCCTCCTGCCAAAGACTCCCCGCAAAGTGACCACAGTGAGCTGGAAGCACAGACGTGAGGGAGAAAAATGACCACGTGACCGCTGGCACAAAGACCATGCCCACCTACCTGCAGCAGCGCCCAGTCCTCACTGATGAGCCACTCGGGGTTGTCTTGACCAGGCTCAGCTGTGGGTTTGGCAAAAGTTGGCAGGGGCTTGGCGAACGGCACCTGCTGCTTCAGCAGAATATTCTTCTTCTGCTCCTTGCCCTCTCTGCGAATTTTCAGGAGGCCTGGTGTCGCTCGGTCAAACAGGGACCGAGGAGGGACGACTGCCTCCCCATGACGCTGCTTCTTCTTCCTGCCTGCAGCTGAACAGAGAGGCTGTCTTCAGCAAGACAGTAAACCAGGAGATTCCACATTGGCAGGCAAAAGACAAAGGAAACAGGTTGGGCAAGTCTGGAGGTGCCTGGGCAAAGAGGCTGCAGAAAGCACCTGCCAAAGATAGACCTGCTCTCAGGTCTTCACGGTCAATTAGAAGGAAACACGAAGGTTTCCTCATTGGAAACAACAGAACTTGTGCACAGGGCCTGAGAGGCAGTGGACGGGCGTGTGGGCACTTGCCCTGCAGCAGACAGGCAGACGGTAGACAGCAGAAAGCGGCTGATATGCAGGGACTCTGCAGGCCAGGGCCCGCCTAGGTCACGGGATGCCCTCGGGATGCGCACCTGAGGGGTCTGTTTTGTGTCGCTTCCGCTCCTTCCTCACATACACGGGGGGCAGCTTAGCCTCTGGGATGGGAGTGGCTTCATACATGAGACACATGACCGAGTCAAGATAGATGTCACTGTCATCCTGTGGCGGGGTGGGTGGGGTCCAGAGCTGCACAGAGAAGGGAGGGCCCATGAGATGTGGAACTCACAGGAAGCTGCCCGCGCAGACCCAAAGGGAGAGGGCAGCACTCACCGGCATGACTTCTGCCTGCCCATCGACATCTTCGTAGACATACTCCTGTAGGGAACACGGCATGCTCTAATTTCCACCAAGTCTCAGTGTCATGTTGTAAGCCACAAATCATGTACCTTCATACTTATTAAGTCTTCCAAGTAAGTCTGATCGACATGACTATTTATAATAAGATTTATAAATGCTTTAATCAGAACTGGTCAATATCTAACTGCAATCTCCAAGTGTCAATTTTTAAGAAAACTGTGTTTTTAGAACATGAGTGAAGTTGTTTTGATATGAGAAGTAACAATTCCTAGGCATTTTCTCATGTCAATGTACACAGATTTTGAACAGCCAAACATGGCTGAACAAGTGCCCCTCAGCAGGGGGGCAAGAGGGCAGGAGGGCCCTGGGCCAGGTACCATGCTGTAGGCATCCTCTCGGGTGTAGGTCAGGAGCTCCGCCTCCTCCTGCTCCAGCCGCAGCCGGGCCTCCCTCTCCTGCAGGGTCTTCAGGTTCCAGAACTCCCACGCCCTCACTGCAGTCATCACTGCGTCCTGATGGGGAGAGCAGCAGGAACTTTCAGGATCAGGAACGCAGCTCAGAGCAGTCCCCGAGTCCCCACTACAGGTCTCCCTGCTGTCTCAGAGCCACATGTTCTCTATACACACTGACCCACAACGTGTCACCCTGCAAGCAGCAGCCTGCTGCAAATCAAATCAAAGACATTGAGGGCAGAACAAGCCCCATGGTCCCTATGGGGGGAAAACAAGCTCCACGGTCCCTACGAGGGGTGAACAAGCTCCATGTTCCCTACAAGAGATGAACAAGCTCCACGGTCCCTATGAGAGGTGAACAAGCCCCACGGTCCCTTTGGGGGGAAAACAAGCTTCACGGTCCCTACGAGGGGTGAACAAGCCCCACGGTCCCTTTGGGGGAAAAACAAGCTCCACGGTCCCTACGGACTTCTCGAGACTCTCTTCATTTTAAGTTCGTTTCCAAACTTGTGGGTTTTGGCTTTTGTGACTCTAATTTAATGAAGTCACATTTACTTTAAATCAAACTTAACTCTGAAAATATTGCCATTTTTTTCACTGACTGAAAGCTGACCGTCTTACCTCACTGTCTCTCGCTTTTTCTTGCTCAGTGGAAGCATGGAATAATTCCAGGTAATTTAAAGCGTATTTTTCAATTGGTGTAAGCTGTTCCAAAAGTATATTTTTTGAATAGGGTTAACAGCAAGTTAATAAAAGTCAAGTTCCTTATACAACCCACTCACCAACATTTGAATCAAAAAAGTGATTTTTCTTGCAGTGAACAATAAATATTTCATAGAACGGTCAAATTTTTAAAGTAGGTAGTTGTAAAGGAAAACATGCCCAAACCTGCTCCATGAAGTCAGCTAGTTCCTCTAATTGGGATGGTTCTTCATCACATGGCACGTTCTCAGAGTCTGAGGACAGCGCATCAGTGTGTGGTCCCGGCACCCCCTCCTCTGCGGACTTCTGGGCATCCTCCTCCAGATACTCAATACTCTTGAGGGCCTGAGGAAAGTCGATGTTTAGATTGCCTTGACAGACTTTTTAAATGAGGGTAGTTTGAAAAAGAGCCATCCTATGTAAAGTTAATGGAGATGCCTACACTGTAATCACCCACTCTCTATAAAGGCCATCCACTCCTTCCCTGAGGTCCTCTTACAGGTGAAAATGATAAGGCACTTAGAGAATACAGAAAATGAGCGGGAAACCTCCTGGGCCTTGCTAACCTTACTATCGAGTTGGACAGGCAGGCCCCATGGAAGGGCTGAGCACTGACGCAGGGAAAGCGTGCCAGGGCACCCAGGGCCAGGGAAGCTCCGAGAACAAGAAAGGCCCAGGAGGCTCTGTCTCAGACCGGATGCACACCACTGCCCTCAGCTGACAGACACAGCAGGACAGAGGCTTCTGTCCAGGAAACAGACAGCAGACGGACAGCCCAACATTACGGCAGCAGGAGCAAGTCCACCGCGAAATGTAGCATTGATGACTATAACATACAAGACAGCTTTATCACAGTGCAAGACACGCAAGTTAGAACGAGGAGACGCCACTGTTCATCTGCAGAAACAGCTAGGAACACACGTCTGATAGTTACCTGCAGATGTGGGCAAAAGACATCTGACATGGAGGTATGGTTTTTAGTTAGAAGATACAAATTAAAAACTGATACAATCTGTTTCCAGGGCAATCTGGTAAAACCTGCAAAGTTATATAATACTACTTCGACACTATACACAGAACTTATTGCCAGATAGGTGGTGCACCTAAGTAGCAAACATAAAACAACGCAACATGTAGAAGAAAACAGAGGAGGATGCACGGCGACCTTCAGGTGGGCAGAGAATCTCCTCAGCAGAGCACAAACAGCACCCACTATAAAGACAGCAGACGTGGACCCTGGATGGTGTCAGAACTTGGAACTTCTGCTCATCAATATATAGCGTTTAGAAAGGCAAACCACAGAATGGGAAGATATGTCACGTGTATCAAACAAAGGCCTTTTATCTGGGATACATAAAGAACTCCAACAAGTCATTAAGAAACAGAGACAACTGGCCAGGCATGGTGGCTCACGCCTGTAATCACAGCACTTTGGGAGGTCGAGGCAGGTGGATCACCTGAGGTCAGAGGTTCAAGACCAGTCTTGCCAACATGGAGAAACCCCATCTCTACTAAAAATATAAAAATTAGCCAGGCGTGGTGGCATGCACCTGTAATCCCAGCTACTTGGGAGGCTGAGCTGGAGAATCACTTCAACCTGGGAGGTGGAGGTTGCAGTGAGCCGAGATCATACCACTGCACTGCAGCCTGGACGATGAGTGGGACTCCGTTTAAAAAAAAAAGAAAAGAAAAAGAAATAGAGAAAAACCCAATAAAAAAAAATTGGGAAAAGCCTTGGCATTTCTTTAAAAAGTACTCAAACTATCAGTAAATACGTGAAGAGGCACTCAAACTCATCCATCAACAGCAAAACTACAAATTAAACCACAATGAGACTATCCCACATTCCACCCTGTAGCTACGGTGACAGGACCAGCAATTTCGCCTCCACACCACCACCCAGAACAATCCCATGGTGGGAGCATCCCCGGCGCAGCCACAGCATCTCCTGAGGTCAAACGTATGCAGCCTGAATTGCACATGCGTGCTTACCAAAGACAAGGATAGAAACACCCACAGGAGCGCAACTCAAATTAACCACTCTACCACATCCATGAGCCGCAGATCTGATCAACTGTGGTATATTCAGACAGAACTCTACACAGCAGTGAGAATGAGTTACCGACTGCCGCGCACAACAAGAAGGCAGACCCGAAGGAAGAGCGCCCCATGTATAGAAAGTGCAGAAGCAGGGAATGCTGTCAGAATTCTCAAGAGGCAGCACCGATGGGGGGACAGGCCTTCTGAGGAGCCAGCCACATCCTCCTCCTCCACCAGATGCTAGCTACTAGGTGCTTCTACTGACAGAACATTTCTCCAGCTGGAATCTTTGTGATGCGTACACTTGCTGCATGTTTTTGTATGTCAACAAGGACTTTTCTTAAAATCATTTTTCAGGCACAAATCCTCTGATGACCGTTGCCCATGATAGAAGAATCCTACAGCCACAGTCCCGTGCAGCAGGTACGAGCACAGCACGCTAACGTGGATCTGTCTCTGCTGGCAAAAGGTCAAGGCTAACCTACCTCTCTGTTCCCAGGGGCCGGTCAAGCCAGTGAGGAGCAGCCATCCTCCTCACACACCCACTGCAGCGAGTCCTGCTGGCTCCACCCTCCAAAGACCCCCCTGCTGCCCCGGCAGGTCCCCCAGCTTTCCTCACCAGCCTTGCTCACCAGTGTTACTGCTCTGGGACTCTTAACTGGGCCCCAGGATCCCCCTGCCTTGCTACAACCGAGTCTCAACAAAGGAGTCAGAGCGACTCTCTTAGGTCATGCCAGACCCTGCACCACAGCTTGACTCAAACCCTTCCAAGGGCTTCCTGCAGTCAGGCCCCACCTGGTCACACCCTCCCCACCCCCTCAGCCACACTGACCTGTCTACTGTGGTGACCACAACATTCTCCCCTGGACTCAGCATTTCACAGCTTCTCGTGTGAATAAATTACATGCTTTACTCACTAGGTTTGGTTTCTGCCTCTCTCCTTACTAGAATATAAGCTTCAGGAAAGGTGAAATTCTTGTCTTTTTTTCGATCCTGTATCCCCACTGCTTAGAACAATGCCTGACACACAGTAAAACAATCAACAAGTATGTTTCCAAAGAATCTATGTGTTGAAATACTATGCTGCTGGGAAACAACAGAGCCAATACAGAAAATCCCAGACTTCTGATGGACACTTGGGTTGATTCTGTGTCCTGGCTGCTGGGATGGTGCTGCCATGAACACGAGGGTGCAGACCCCTCTTCTACGCGCTAATTTCAACTCTTTGGATAGACACCCAGCAGTGGGATTGCTGGATCCTGTGGGAGCTCTATTTCCACATTTTTGAGGAAGCTCCCTGCCGTCTCCCATGGTGGCTGTGCCAACGACGTTCCCAGGAACAGAGTGCAACAGGTCCCTTTCCTCCATGCCCTCACCAACACTCGCTATCTTTTGCGTTTTGATGACAGTCATCCTAACAGGTGCCAGTTGGTACCTCATGTGGTTTTTATTTGATTTTCCTGATGATTAGTGATGCTGGACATTATTTCGTCTACACATCGGCCACTTACATGTTTTCCTTTGAGACACACAGAGTCAGGTCCTTTGCATATTTTGTCTTTGAGACAGGGTCTCACTCTGTCACCCAGGTTGGAGTGTAGTGGCACGATCACAGCTCACAGCAGCCTCAATCTCCTGGGCTTAAGAGATCCTCCCGCCTCAGCCACCCCAGTAGCTGGGACTACAGGTCCTCACCACCACACTCATAGTTTTTAAAATTCTTCTTGTAGAGATGGGGTCCCACTATAATGCCCATGCCAGTCTTGAACTTCTGGCTTCAAGCCCTCCTCTAGCCTCAGCTTCCCAAAGTACTGGGATTACAGCCTGAGCCACCACACCTGGCCCTAGCTATGATTTTGTGTTGTTTTTCTTTTCCAACCTCATGCATGTATTACCTCCTTAAAATGGAATGAGGTTGATCCATACCTCCTGATACGTAACAATCTGTAAGGTATTTCTGTGTAAAGGAAATGATACACAGACAATCTCCAGAAGAAATGTGAGAAACGGGGTGGTGGCAGGGTACGGGGCAGGGCAGGAGACTGGCTTTTCATGATAAATTCTCAAAGGTTTGGGTCATAGGTGGATCCCTCAGGAACAGACATGCTCTGGGGCTGGGGGAATGGGTCTCGCCCTGTTCGTCCTGTGAGGGTCAGTCTATTAAAGGAAGCCTGCTGTCTGCCCCTCGCTCCCTCTCTCGCTCCGTGGCCTGCACATGCAGCTCCCCCTCCCCTTCTGCCACCATGGAAGCTGTCTGAGGCCCTCACCAGACAGATGCTCAATCCTGAACTCTGCTGCCATCAGAAACGTGAGTGAAATAAACCCCTTTTTAAAATAAATCACCCAGTCTCAGGTATTCCTTTACAGCAACACAAACGGACTAAAACAATCATGCCCCAAGTATTTCTTACTTATTTGGTAACTGAGTAATGTTTAGAAATGGAAGAGGAGACAGCATCAGAGTTGATGAGAACAAGCTAAGCACAGGCAAGGACGGGGCTGACACCATGAGGCTGGGAGGCTCAATCTCACGTGTCTAGGGACAGGTGCTGAGAGGCTGTGCAGTGTGCCTGGTCTCGTCTTTAACGCTTTCACCGAAAAGAAAAACATACAGAAAAGCCCATGCAGTCAGGCGCTGTAGTCAAACAGGGCAGGAAAAAAGATGCACAGGGATACCAAATCCTTCCAAGGTAAGAGGCATAGCAACGGGGGCCCCAGAACAAGCTCTGGAGGAGTAGCAGGGCCACATGAAGGAAGAGAGGACTCAGAGAACGAAGGTAGCTAAAAGCCTCCATCTCCAGGACGTGAGGCTGTAGGGCTTTGGCAGGCAGCCATGGGGACAGGGAGGGAACAGCGGCCCCGTGACAGGTATGTGATGTGTCCACACAGCAGCACCTCCAAAAGGGAAAAATCAAAGGACCCAAACATGCCCTCTATCTTCTAGTACCCACGCCAAAACAGTAAAATACTGACATAACCCGACAGCCAAAATATTATCACTTCAACAGGCAGTCAACATTCAAAAGTACCAACATGATAGTCTGTGTTCTTTCTTACACTCAGTCTTCACAATCAACCGGCACCTGACACTTAGCACCTGAGTGCAGGCTAGTGACTGCTCTGCTCAGGGAGAAGCCAACACAGCCAGCTGGAGGGGAGCAGGGGCAGTGCTGGTAGAGCCTCCAGAGGAGGCAGGAATAGATTTCCACAGGGAGGGGAAGGAGCTGAGACTGTGGGAAAGTGCGGATGAAGACGGCAGCAACTGCTTCAGTGACAGGCCTGTGGTTCGCGACCTTTGTCACCATTTCCCTCACTTGTATTTGCAGTTCAAAATCCCCATGACGGAAAGAAGGGAGGGGGGAGGCTCCAAAAGCAGGGACGGGAAGAGGGCTTCAGGCCAGGGAAGAATGGGGACTAAGCACTCAGAGCCCCAGGGGAGGGTGCAGGTGTTCTGACGGCTCCCACCATGCAACTCTCCAGCCAGATTCAATGTATTCTCACCTCTATGAAAGGTCTTGCAATTTTGGGTGCAATGGTTTCCGTGACAGAAGGTTCCTGAGAAAGCACCACAAACTCCTCAGCTTTGACCGGGAAGCCAGCATCATCCATGGGAGAATAAACCTCAAACAGCTCCTGGATGGTTCGCTGAACACAGAGACATGCGTTACTCCCCAGTACAAGGTCCAAGTGTGCATCTGACCTGAGCTGGAGACCAAAGCCCCTCGCTAGTGTGCACTAACACCAGGCAATTCCATGCGCCGCACAGCGGGCCTCACCTCAAGGACTCTCACCGAATAAGGAGTACCTGAGTTAAGAAGGCCATGGAGTAGTCATTTCCCTGAGCAGCCACTTCTCGGATCAAATCTTTAGTTCCATTTTTCAACAATTTCTCTTCAATGGAATTGCCACTCACAAGCCTGCAAACAAAGGACATAAGATGCTAAGTCGGTCACCTGGAAATGCAGTGACAACAGGCTGGCCACAGTATGCAGATGGTGATCAGCGAGTCCACATCCCTCCTCCAGGTCTACCCCTGTTTGGAACATGCCTTCGTGGGGCCCCAAAGGCCGCTGTCAGCCAGCCCCTCCAATCTTAGCTCTCCTGCCTCCCAGACAGCTGACAGGAGGCCCCTCCGGAAGACTCTTCGCTGTTCCACCTCATCCTTCTACACGTCATCCCGTTTTTTTCCCACCAGTCTCAACCTGGAAATGTCCCACCCGGTCCTTCCAGATGTACCTCCAGCATCTATCTTCTCGGAAACCTTCACTGAGCCCAACAGGCAGAACTGATAATTTCACAGACTTGCTTGTTAACCCTCATGAGACATCTCATTCTCACGTAATTATGGACATTTTCATCTTTTTAACCCCTGTACACTACCAGACCCACAATAGGCGTTCAATTAAGACTATGATTTGTAGATGTGACCCCACTGGACAGACGGACCCCCAGTGCAGGGACACATGCACCTGAGTGGCTTCCTTAAGACTGTATCACTGGGGACACAGAACAGACCACGCAGTCTATTGCCTTCCCATGAGGCTCATCTGCCTCTAAAATGCTAAATGCTAACCCCCCAAAATGTTCACATTAAACAACTTTAACAGCATGATATTCACAGAGATGAAAACAAATTTTTTTTCAGAAAATTCGAAATTAAAAGGATCTTAAATATTAAAGAAAAACAATCATAGGGAACAGAATGGAAAGTGAAGACATGAACCCAGACACAAACAAAGGAACTAAATACATAATAAAGGGAAATAGCAACATGAAAGACGGACGGACAACTTCATCAACAGCAAACCACCACCTAGGAAGACTTTCCTGGCCTTTCAATGAAAATCTGCTCTTTCTTGATTATATTACTACATGCTCATCGTAAATTATTTGATTACATAAAAGTATAAGAAACAAAACAAAACAAAAAATCACCTGGATTCCAATCACCCTGAGAACCATTAAAAAAGGTAGGGATGGCATTTCCACCCACCTTAGTTCACAAGAAGGTGCTGCTGCCTATATATGACGGTGTGCACTTCCACGGGCACACTTTTCCTAACAGGTGCACCTCATGGCTGCTTCAGGGAGGGCGGCCTGCCTCTCCTGCCCTCTACCCCAGCAGCCATGTCAGCGTGAACCTGGGTGGGTGTGCGCTTCCACAACGTTCCGTGTGAACCTGGGCGCGAGCTTCCACGAAGTTCCGTTTCAACCTGGGTGTGTGTTTCCATGACGCTCGGTGTGAACCTGGGTGTATCCTTCCACGACGTTCCGTGTGAAACTGGGTGTGTCCTTCCATGGCGTTCCGTGTGAACCTGGGTATATCCTTCCACGACGTTCCGTGTGAAACTGGGTGTGTCCTTCCATGGCGTTCCGTGTGAACCTGGGTGTGTCCTTCCATGACGTTCCGTGTGAACATGGGTGTGTCCCTCCACGACATTCCATGTGAACCCGGTTGTGTCCCTCCATGACATTCCATGTGAACCTGGGTGTGGTGTTCCACAATGCTCCGTGTGAACCTGGGTGTGTCCATCCATGGCGTTCTGGGTGCACCTGTGTGTGCCCGTCCACAATGTTCCATGTGAACCTGGCTGTGTCGTTCCACGATGCTCTTTGTGAACCTGGGTGTGTCCTTCCATGATGTTCCGTGTACTGTCACCTCATGCACAACCGTGTGGGAAAATGTCTGCCTCATTTCCTACTTCTCTGCATTCTGCTATCCTCGCTAAGCAGTGTATTACAGAAATCCCTCGACATGAGCTCATTTTCCACCTGGCTGCTCAATACGGTGGGATGGCTGTACCCCAGTGACTGCTTTGTGCCATGTGACAAAGCTGCGACACACATCCTTAGATAGCAATCCCACGTTCCCATCAACATGAGGACATCCCTTTTCTAGTACCAGGCTGAGCAGGCTCGTTCCCTTAGGGTCTCACCTGTCTGGGGCATGAGAAGAGAGATCTCATCATGCATTAAACTGGTCCTTCCTTCTCCAGACCAGTGAGCTGGAGCGGCCTCTCATACTTTTTGGCCAATTGGGATGGACTGTTCATATTCACAGGCCCTTCCTTTTTAAAAGTAAGGTGGGGGGGAACTTTATATATCTTCTCGATTTTTAGGAGCTATTTAATCCTTTACTTACACTGAGAATGGCAAATCATCTTCCTGCTCTATCACCCGCCTGCCCACTGGGCTTACCGTACATGCACAATGCTCGGCTTCCTGTCATCTCCCCACTCATCACCTGCCTGCCCACTGGGCTCACCGTATCTGTACAACGCTTGGCTTCCTGTCTCACTGCAGCCATGTGCCTGTCTCCCCTGACTTCGGGGTCTGTGTGGGTCAGGCGGTCCCTTCCAGCTCTCGGCCACAGGCACTGTCTCTTCAAGAGTGTTCTAATACTGCTGCTCCACTGAAAACATTCAAGTCGTTCATCCCTCTGGACTCCACTCTGGTCAGCCATGGGAGCAGCACTCCAAGCCCGTCCTCTCACTCGTGGAGCGAAAGGTGTGCAGCACATTCATGACAGAAAGGCCCCCCAGTTACTGTGACAGCCAACCTCTGTTAACATGCAAACTCCCCATGGATGCCAGGCTATCTGCCCTGACACCAACAGCACCCTCATGCGGTTTGGGGGTCCCCATGGCTCATAGTGGGGCACACTCTCACCCGCAACACTAAGCATCTTGATAGCGGCCTTCGTCAGGATGTCCGCACCGCAAGCACACTGGCACCACCTTACCCAGCCACATGTGTGCACGCATACAACCTCCACACCCATGAGAAGCGTTTTCACAAAAATATTAAATTTTAGTATTACTTTGGAGAAACTTCACAAGTTCATGAACGAAGTCTACCCACTCAAGAACAAAGTGGGTCTTCACACTTGGCACAGCTCATCCTGCATCCTTCAAGGCCACCTCATGCCACACTTCAGATGCCCTGTTCCTGCACCGCTAAGGCCATGCCTGAGACTTTATTGCTACTGAGAATAAAACACTTTTCCAATTTCTAGCTAGTAATTGCTAAAGGGCCAACAATGCAGAATGGATTCCACACTAAGCCCTTATCCATTCAACATAAACCATGCACCAAACTTACATTCATCACCATGGAAACGTATGTATAATACACTGTTAAAAAAAAAAGTTTACAAAATAAGACATAGTGTGAGCCTTCTTAAAGACTCAGAAACATGTCTTGGAAAGATGTGCATCTAAATATTAATAATTGCTGCCTCTATAGGATCCTTGTTTTTCTTTACAGGCTTTCCTTTTTTTCCTCGAGGAACAAGGAATGCATTTATAGCAAGAAAAATAATAATCAAACAATTTAAATACAGCATTTGAATTACTATGACACCAACTGTCTTGTTAAAAAACAAATGGCGGGCTGGGTGCAGTGACTCACACCTGTAATCCCAGCACTTTGGGAGGCTGAGGCGGGCTGACTGCTTGAGTCCAGGAGTTTGGGACCAGCCTGGGCAACATAGTGAAACCCTGTCTGTACAAAAAACACAAACATTAGCCAGGCATGGTGCTGAACACCTGTAGCCCCAGCCACCCGGGAGGCTGAGCTGGGAGGATCACTTGAGCCTAGGTGATAGAGGCATCAGTGAGCCAAGATCACGCCACTGTACTCCAGCCTAGGCAACAGACCCTGTCTCCAAAAAAAAAAAAACAAAAAAAGAGGTTAAAGCACACTTGGGGTTGTAGTTGCAGTGTCAGCTACTACCTAGGAGATCTCATGCAGGGACCATAGTTGTCTAGTCTCAGGTTCCCTACTGGGAACTGACATGTCACTATGAGAGGCGAGCCTAGGCTGCACTCGGTACACAACCAGGCACAAAATAAGCAAAAGAAGTAAATATCCTATTACACTGTAACAGCAAGCACTTAGAAATTTAAACATATACAGTAACCTTTCTCCATGTCTCCCAATTGTGTTTTGACAGTTACAGTTTTTATCTTTAAAGCTAGTAATAGGCTGGGTGCTGTGGCTCATGCCTATAATCCCAGCACTTTGGGAGGCCAAGGCAGGAGATCACCTGAGGTTGGGAGTTCCAAGATCAGCCTGGCCAACATGGTGAAACCCCGTCTCTACCAAAAATACAAAAACTAGCAGGGCGTGGTGGCGCACACCTGTAACCCCAGCTACTCGGGGGGCTGAGGCAGAAGAATCACTTGAACCCAGGAGGTGGAGGTTGCAGTGAGCCGAGACGGCGCCATCGCACTCCAGCTTGACTAACAAGAGCAAAACTCCATCTCAAAAAAAAAAAAAAAAAAGGATAAGAATAGATTTTGGCTGGGCACAGTGGCTCATGCCTGTAATCCCAGTACTTCGGGAGGCCGAGGCAGGCGGATCACGAGGTCAGGAGTTCGAGACCAGCCTGGCCAATATGGTGAAACCCCGTATCTACTAAAAATACAAAAATTAGCCAGTCGTAGTGGCGCACGCCTGTAGTCCCAGCTATTCAGGAGGCTGAGGCAGAAGAATCGCTTGTACCTGGGAGGCAGAGGTTGCGGTGAGCCAAGATCATGCCACTGCACTGCCGCCTGAGCGACAGAGCAAGAGTCTGTCTCAAAAAAAAAACCTATTTTAATTCTCTTTTTCTTCTTTTCACAGGTGTTGACCATTCTTTCAATAGCCATTTTACTAACAGGTAACTTTTAGTTCATAATAATTAAAACAACCCAAAATCTAAATCGTACTTTTAAGACTGAGGTGCTCTGGAAGAGGTACCACATGTAAAAACTGAGGACGGCAAGATGATTTGTGTGGGCAGCATCACTAACTTACAATTTCAAGCAAATGTTGAGTATAAATAAAAGGAATAAATAAAACAGCAGAAACATACATTTGTCTGAAGGAAAACGAAACCTAGTTTAAAATTAGATATCATGTACTGCCTTTAGTGTTTCCTTTTGTTTCTGCATTAGTGCTTCCTGCACCAAAGCCTCCTGCAAAGCTTCTCAGTGACTCCATCTCCACACGGCCGTCCCTGCAGGCCTCACCTGTATATGTGGATGTCTTTGCATCTCCCGATCCGATCACACCACTCCTGAGCTTTGGCATCCATCACTGGATTCAAGTCATTGTCATAAAACACGACGGTGTCTGCCTCTACAAGGTTTATACCTGTGGTACGGCTGTGAGTGGAAAGAATGGCACAAAAAATCCGCCTGTCTCTGTTGAAACTCCTCATCAGTTCCTAAGATGAAACAAAACACTGGAGTTAGTATTCTTGGGAAATGTTGGGAAACCTTTGACACATTTCACCATTTATCAATTAGAAATTACCCCATAGCAGGCCAGGTGTGCCGGCTCACGCCTGTAATCCCAGCACTCTGGGAGGCCGAGGCGGGTGGATCACAAGGTCAGGAGATAGAAACTGTCCTGGTTAACATGGTGAAACCCCATCTCTACTAAAAATACAAAAAACTAGCCGGGCGTGGTGGCGGATGCCTGTAGTCCCAGCTACTTGGGAGGCTGAGGCAGGAGAATGGGGTGAACCCGGGAGGCGGAGCTTGCAGTGAGCCGAGATTGCGCCACTGCACTCCAGCCTGGGCGACAGAGCAAGACTCTGTCTCAAAAAAAAAAAAAAAGAAAGAAAGAAAAAGAAATTATCGCATAGCAAAACTGCTTGGTTTGTATTCCATTCAACACAAGGCTCATGTTAAAGCAACATCAAGGTCCCTGCACTATATTATGGCTCTTCCGTGTAGCCACCATCATCTTACACTCACCCATCTCCAACACCCTCATACCCACGGTTTAAATAACACCAGCCATGAGTGACAAGAAAAAGTTAGATTCCACCTTGCATTTACTGTCAGCTCAACTTGTAGGCCCCAAAAGAAAACAGCGTCTTACTGGGGAGGGATATGTGCTTTCTCATCTATCCTCAGGCAATGCCAGGGCACTTTACAGGCAACAAAAAGCCCCTGGAGTAAGGCTGAGGAAGCAGGAAAAACAAAACCGTGAAAGACATTCCTCTAACCTCACTGAGGACCATGAAAGGAGATGACTTGAATACTTCTCTTCCATAACTATTTCTGTGCCAGAAACGAAACCTAACCACTGAACACCTCTCTTCCTGCAAAGCATTCTGCCTGTAATTTGTTAGACTATCACCAAGAAAACTTGTTAAACCACCTTTTGCTCTATTTCGTTCTAGGCCTCTTCAGTGTGTGCATGAGCATATGTGTGAGATAAAGCAGGTCGCATGACTTACAGGGCAGCATCTGGGGGACACGGGGCCATGCTACTGAAGCTGGCTCTGAAATGCTGCTGACAAGGGCCTAGTGCACCACATGGAATGCTGGGCACGGTTTCTGCTCATGAAGCTGCCGGGGCGCGGGGCCCAGGGACAACCCCTTATGCACTCACTCTTCTGCTGAACACTGACTGTTCCCAGCTGTGGATTACCATCAACATTTCAACGACGACTCTGCAGACAGATCTCACGTGGTGTGTTTGTTGTTATGTAAGTAAAGGGTTCTAAATACATCACCACTAAGGTTCAAATCCATACTGCCAGGCTGCCTTCTAGAACTATACTACTTTATGCCTCCACGGCAGGCTATGAGAGTGTCTGACTCACTGTGCCTGATGAATCAAAACAGCCTTGGCAAATCTAGTAAGTAAACAATGGGCATATTATCTTAACTTGTATTTCCTTTAATTCTAAATTGGTTGGAATTGTTTTCATATTTTTACCTCGTAGTTACCTCTTGAAGTACACCAGTATTGTCTTAATGATGACTGCAGGTCACCAGTGTTTATTCTGAGACATCAAGACTGCATTTACCTAACAACATGGCTTTCAATAAAAAATATCAAAGGATGGATTGAGACTTAAGAAAGTTCAAAGGCTCATTAAGTCCTTCTCCTTTCACTTAGAAGGGCCATGAGACCACTGAATTTACACAGCACTCAGGCCTTAAACACCGGTGACTGACCCATCAGGGACAAGGTAAGCAATGTCCTTCTCACCTGCCGTTGCTCACTGCTGGCATTTTCATCGATTCTTACATAGGTGAGGTAATGGAAGTTCAAGAACATCTCTAAAATGTCCAACATAAGAATCATCTGTGATAAAATCAGCACCCGACGTCCTTCAGATTTCAACTTCTGAAGCAAGATAGCTAAAGCTTCCAACTTTCCTGGGAAACGAATCACATCAAGAGTGTCTCATCATCCAGGGCCAGCCCAGCTCACACGGGCCACACCACCAACTGCCCCATACCTGAATCGAACTGCACCAGCCTCAGCTCAGGGAACTGCAGCAGGCGCGGAGCCGTTGTCTGCCGCAGCTGCTGGAAGTAAGGTGCAGCATGCTCTCTCAGGCCCTCCCTGAAGATCCTCATTCTGTGGTTGTACAAGGGTGGCGGCCGCGGCACCCATAGGGATGGGGGTGCTGCCACCACCGGAGGAATCACAAAGGCAACCCTGAGGAGCAGAAAGCATGTTTTATCACCACCAGGAGCCACACACCTTCACCCAGCATGGGGGCTCCCAAAAGATGTGGCAGAGACCTCCGGCAGTCCAAGTTCCAGGAAACAGCGGGGCTCAACCCAGTCACATGGGGACATGGCTGTTGGCACACGGGTAGGGGCCCAACGAGGCAGATCCTAACCAGTCCTGGCCAACCACCACCACCTTAGGGACTACTTCAGACAGTCCAGGGCTGACCGACCAATGGGGGTGGACTCCCTAGGCCGCAGGCACTATTCAGAGATGAGCCATTCTCTTTCCAGCGTGTCTTCAGCTGGAAAGTTTGGGACAAAGGTGCGCTGTCTCGTGGACCCTAGAACTGCTACGGACTGTGTCACCAGGATGGGGGCCAGACTCAGGGTGAAGGAATCTTTAGGACAATGACAATATAGCAAAGATCGCACAGCCAACCTGAGGCCCACCTTGCAACCTGTGGAGGTCACCTGCGCCAGAAGGCCCTTGCTATGGACATCAGCTATGACTCACTCCCAACTGTATACAAACTGAAAGAATGGTCAAATGTTCAATGAGGGAGGAGTACACAAAGACAAACCAGTACTTGAAAGAAAAACTCCAGGAGCACAAGGTCACTGACTTAGCCACTCCTAGACCAGGAGATGCCAGAGGTGGCTTGTTCGGCCTTGGAGAAGCACTCGCAGTTTTCTTTTTTTCCATTAATTCTGTTTCCTGATCTGAAAGCACTGAAATAGGTAGACCTGAAAGCTGAGCTGAGCCAAGGTACAGGAAGAAGCCAGGTTTCCCTTTGTAGATGGGATACAACTATGAGAAATACAACAGCTGTAAAGAAGGGAAGAAAACATGTCTGAAGCAGAGCCTGGAGACCGAGTCCAAGCAGGGAGTGGAACTACAAACAGGGTAACGCGCTCTACTGAAAGCAAGCTCAGTGAGAGCGGCCAGGTGCCCACCATGCCCACCAGAGCTCGGATTTGCTCTCCATTAACGCATGTTCTGAGCTCAACTCTGGCACATATTTGTCATCATGTAACGTTCACTCACTCATGAGGATCTTTTAATACAGTCATTGTTTTGAAAGAATCAAATGGAGAAAGTCCTTAGCAACACAGTCATTTGTCCCCAAGCACAGTGTGAGCTCAGTGCTGTGGCTCTGCCCCGGGGCTGCCAACTTCCTTCAGAAGCCGTGCCTGGCACTGAGACCCAGATAATAAAACCATCTAATCCCAAAGCTGAAGACCTCAAACAGTAACTTCAAAACGGACTGCTAAGGGACAGCGTGGGGAGAAGCCGATGGGAATAAGATGAACATCCACGAGACAAGAAGGGGCCTTGCTGGGGTGTAACGCAGCCAGAGAGCACCGAAAAGGCCACGAGGTCTGCAGTACCTGTCAATAACATCCTGCAGAGACTCTCGACACTGACAAAGCGTCAACATCAGCTCACTTGGACTTTCTGAGGATGAAGCGTAACTGTGTGCTGGCCCGGCCTCCTTCTCACGATGGCCATCCAGGGACCCACGCCACTGTACCCTTCCGTGGCCAGGCAGGGCACAAATCCTTAGCAAGTCTCTGCCATAGACTGGAGCTTGAGAACAGCGCCGCTCGTTGACCAAATAAATCTGATCCAGGCGCTCTTTCAAGAGTCTGGTCTTCTCCTCCTTTATCAAAAAGTGATGAAAAACAGTTACTTGAGAAACAGAACGACAAGTTACCGTCTTCACCAAACCCCCTGGAATTTCCCACGCATGGGATCCACTTCAATATCCAAGGTCTTATGTTACAGGAAATAGAGACTGAAATGAAGCCGAGAGCTACAGGAAACAGAAATGGAAATGAAGCAGAGAGCACAAGCATTCTCTTCTCTGTCAAGATGGGAAGTATTTCTCAAGACACAAGTGAGTAATTCTAATGCCCAGGAAGACTTGCAGAAGGACATAAAAAATACAAAAAGAGATTTTGGCAGTCGTAAGTCCAGTTTCATTTCTTGTATTAGGAAATTTGTGTTTTAAAATAAGAATTCAGTAACATAACTTGAGGATTCACAGGAGCCTTTAAATATCACAACCGAACACAACAAGCAGCTCTTGGAAAGCCACTTGTCCACATGCACCAGGGTCTCAAGCTCAGGTGCTTACCTGGGTTGGCCCTCCAATGGGAGAAGCTGGTTTGGAGGCCGTTCCAGGTTCTCCCACAGCCAAGGCATTCACCGCCACGCGGCCCGGAACGCCAACTACAAATGCATAAAGGAAGAGGTGAAAAGGAATGCCAAGTTCGCAGGATTTCATCTGCCACCAGCATGCTCCATGGAACCTCGCCCTCCACCAGCACACTCCGCAGAAAGTCATTCTGCAACAGCATGTCCCCAAGGCCTCATCCTCCACCAGCACGTGGCTGGAATGTGCATGGCTCAAACTTAAATGCTTTAGATCTGCCACGGAAGCATGCTGGCTCCCAGGCCATGACTGGAGCTGAATGGAGCCAGGAGTTTACCCCTTTCCCTTGGGAAGCACTCCAGAGCCACCCAGAAGCATCCCAGCATACCTCCAAGGCCCTGGGTGCCCCATCGCCATCAGCATGTGGCCACCTCCTAGCCCAGGTGACAGCCTGATAACTGTGAGGCCTCTGCCTGCCATGAGCAGCCCAGCCCTGGCAGGATGTCCACCCAGTCCTCACGACTGCAACAGAGCAAGCCAGTGCCCGTTTCATATCTGTTCCCCGGAGCTGCTCCTGACATGACACCAGCTACCAGCCAGGGCCAGCGAGGAAGGCAGAAGCTGTGCCACTTAGTGCGGCAGACTTTCCTACACAGATGTGGTCAAAGAGGTGTCTGAGTGCTGAAAAGGGGCCCAGGGGTTAAGAGTCACCCTAGGGGAAAACAAAGGGAGAGAGGCTGAGGTTGTCAGAACTCAGCACTTGGGGGTAGGGGTGTCTGGGCTCAGACCCTCAGGGTCCAGGACTCCCGTTGGTACTGGGGTCTCTGAAGCGGAGGAGGGCTTCCACAGGACAGTGACTCCTCAGCCCGCGAAGAAGGTGCAGCAGCTGGTTCTGGAATCCCCAAGATGCCTGGTTCTGGAGGTAGCGGCAAAACCTGGCGAGTGGAACTGCTGACCACGCTGGCATGCAGGACTGCTGCTGGGTGACGCTAACAGGACTGGAGAACAAGCCATGGCCCCTCCCCACTCCAGGCTCGCAGCCTCCTCTGATGCCTAACAGAGCCTAACAGGTTGGCAGTGGCCCACCCAACATCACTGCCCACTACACAGAGGCGGGGCTGGAACTGAACAAACACCACTCGGCCACCAGGACAAGGGCTCCATCCCAAGGAGAGAGCCTCACCCCTCTAGGCTCCCAGCCGCCTCCACGGGTCTTTGGGTTCCAGAGGACACACCACATCATGACAGAGCATGTCCAGGGAGACCCAGGGCCAAGGCAGGGGCAGAGTGAGGACTCAGAGGTGAAGCACGTGGCGAGACAGGATGAGGAGTGGCAGCTCGGGCCGGACAAAGAACCAGGCCCTGCGTGGGCGGCCACACGGTCCCACTCCCAGGGGAGACTGAGCACACTGAACGTGTTGGCGATATACAAAGCAGCAAGATTTCTCATGATTCCAAATTTCTTGTGAGAACACAAACAAAACAAAACCCTAAGGACAGTGGAGGCTGGTTATATCCAATCAATACCTTTGAAAGCACAAGAAAAAGAAAATAAATCAGGCTGAATGACACATCTATAGAAATCAGAGATGGCCACACACTAGACTGTGCTGTTCTGAGATACAGTCAAAGACACATGAATGCCTTCCACTCGCCTTAGATGGAAGAGGAAGAAGCTTCCAAGCCAAGTCTCCCTCCTGCTCAGAGCACCCTACCTTGTGGGGTCAAGGGTGCAGGGCTGGGACCGCCGGCCAGGGGCTTGCTTCCCAGGGCGCCGTGCACAGCGCCCGCCTGAGACACGGTCTGCATCACCACGGGGCCAGGGGCTCGAAGGTAGGGTTGCCCGGGGGCGGACACGATCTGGAGGACGCTGCCTGCAATCATAGGTCCGCTAGGTGTCAATAACAGGCACGTGTACATCACAGTCACACACTCCAGGCACTTCCAAACAGTACAAAATAAGTCGACAAACTGAAAATCAAATCTAAACAAACAAATCAATGCAAAGTTCAGTCACTGTGAGAAAAGTGGCAACCCATCACCAACAGTGGATGACAACACACTAAGAGGCAAGGTCTCTTGCTCAATGTCAAGAAAAGGCCATCTACCCTCTGTCCCTTACAGAAGGTGTGTGACACACAGCTGCTGAGGACCTGCTGTGCTGTTTGAGGTACTGAGCTGGACATCCTCACTCCCAGATCACCGCAGTCACTCCTGACAGCAGTCAAGGAGAAGGAAGAAATGGAACAAAACCCTGTTTTTAGCCCAGATGCCTGTGGCTTTTCTGCTGCTTTTTAAGGAGGCTGCCACTTTGGATCTTGTATGACTGCATCTTTCTGACTTCTTTTACTCTGGAGATAGCTTCCCATGTCATACTTTGTGAAAACTGGCGGCCATCAGAGATGTTACCAATTGGCCCCGCCTCTGTGGGCCAAAAAAATGTTTAAAAAAAAAAAGAAAGGAAGTAAACCAAACTGAATCGTTTCTCTGTGGCAGGCCTTGTTCTGCTGAGATGTGTGTCTCTCTCCAAGGAGGTCAGTGGGCTCACCCCACTTATGACAAAACCTTCCACGCTGACAAATACCACAGGCAGCCATCATGAGGAAAGCACTGGGGAGGGCGGTCGCTGAGGCTGCAGTCAGGGAAGGTGGGGGAAGGTGCCGCCGGGGCTGCTGTGTGGGGGTGGGAGGGAGGCAGCCCCTAAGGCTGCTGTCGAGGAAGGAGGGGAAGGCGGCTGCTGGAGCTGCTGTGGGTGCTCCCTGAACCCTAAACTAAAACAGAGAGAGCTAATGATCCCACCACCAGGACAAGGCACCACTCAATTCCTCTCCCTCACTTTTTTTAAAGAGCAGTTACTATATAAACACACTGCTCTTCACCAAAGGTCTGGGCTTTGGGTCTGGGAGTTAAAATTAAGTCTGTTGATAGAAGAAAATGATTTCTCATACATAAAATTACTAATCCTGTGGTGTTTTGGGGACAATTTGTCTCACACCTATATTAGAAAGCAGCAACTATTTCTGTTACTTATCTATTATTTAGAGATGGGAGCCTCACTCTGTGATCAGGCTGGAGTGCAGTGGCACGATCTCGGCTCACTGCAGTTTCAACCTCTGGGGCTCAGGTGATCTTCCCACCTCAGCCTCCCGAGTAGCTTGGACCACAGGAGAGCACAACCACGCCTGGCCAAATATTTCTACTTTGATCTACAAAATACGAAACTCTCTTCAAAGGGCAGATGCTGGGAACGAACGTGCCTGTTGTTTGTCTGACACGCGTCAAGCGCAGGCAGCCCAGTGGCTGCTGAACGGCGTCTCGCTGGGCCGGTCCTCCGCGGACCATGAGACGCACCATTGGACACAGGGAAAAGCCTGAAGCATACATGCACGAAGCAGGCCTGCGGGCAGCAGGGCTCATGGTGAGGCGCTTTTGGCACTTTCGGCGTCAAGTGCTCTCTCTTCCTTATCCTTACCTTGCAGCTGCAGCGGCTGGCCCGCCGTGAGCTGCCGGAGCTGGCTATGCGACAGGGTGAACTTGCTGCCCTGGAACTGCAGTGTCACCGGCGTCTCCGGCTGAGCCACGCGGCTCTGTGGTCCTGCGATGGATGCCAGCTGAGCTATTTTCACTACCTCGCCACCTGTTGAAACGGAGATGAAAAGGTGAATTCAGATCATTTTGGAAAAAATTTGGGTGTGTCATATTGACAATCATTTCTTGTATATAATGACCATCTATCATAAACTGAAGCACCACAGAAATGTTTACCAGGTAGTGTTTTCTACCACTTTTTAAAAATAATTATTTTCATTAAAAAGAGAAAACAAAATGTCAGATTTTAATGGTTAACTTTACTTAACCATAATTGGTAGGGATTTTAGATATCAGATATTGATAATATTAAGGAAGCTATTAAGGAATATTTTACTTTTCTACCCAAACAATAAAAAAGCAGCAAACATCAAAAACAGCAGAAATCAGCTGCATGAAGTGGCTCATGACTGTAATCCCAGCACTTTGGGAGGCTGAGTTGGGTGGATCACATGAGGGCAGGAGTTCGAGACCTGCCTGGAAACAGGGTGAAAACCCATCTCTACTAGAAATGCAAAAAAAAAAAAAAAAAAAAAAAAAAAATTTAGCTGAGGCATGGTGGCGGGCGCCTGTAATCTGAGCTACACAGGAGGCTGAGGCAGAAGAATCGCTTGAACCCAGGAGGCAGAGGTTGCAGTGAGCTGAGATTGGGCCATTGCACTCCAGCCTGGGCAACAAGAGTGAAACTCCACCTCAAAAAAAAAAAAAACAAAAAAAGGCAGAAATTTATTTGTAATACACTTGGAAACTCACACATGAACCTAAACTTTAGAGAACTTTATAAACGTGGAAAGTACCTGTCCAATTTAGCTCACAAAGAGAGACTGTATCTTCACAAATATGAAAAATAACTAGCTTCAGTTACACCCATAACTCTCCAAAATCTAGGAATGTATTTTTATTTATTTTGTGAGAGACAGGGTCTGGCTATGAACCAAGCTGGAGTGTGGTAGCAGGATTATAGCTCACTGCAGCCTCAAACTCCTGGGTTCAAGTGATCTTCCCACCTCAGCCTCCCAGGTAGCTGGGACTACAGGTGTGAGCTACAGCACCTACAAGATCTAGCAATGCCTCTAAATACATAAATAAATCACATACATAAAAAAATCTTGAAGATATAAAACTTCATACTAATTTGAATTAGACGGTAAAAGTCAATCTATAACATTTACTGTTTTTTTAAAAAAGTAAAACTTAGCGTTGCTTAAAACCCTTTTTTTGAAAAAACATAACTCAGACGTGGTCATATGCCCCCAACTCAAAAAGGTATTACCTTCCGGCTACAACTGAACAACAGGTTTAAAGATTTATTTCCCAATGGTTGATACTTGAGTCTAAATGTTCTTCCCAAGAAAATCCATGCCAGAATTATTAGTGATATGATAAAAAGAACAGTTAGTAAGAGACTAGAAAAATGTCTAGAGGCATCTTGCCCACAGAATAACTGTGAACAAGGAGGGGAAAATGGAAACAGAAGACAGAGATTTGTGCATAGAAGTGTCAATCTCCCAACAATCCTCCTTGCTCCATACACAGGTGAGAACCGACCCACAGGAAAAGCAGTTTTGCTCACTTTACAGATCTCCCAAAGAACAGCTCCTCTGGCAACCACCAACATGACTTTCATCCCACGCAAGACAGTGTCTAGTTTGATAAAGATGTAACATATGCAATTGCTTTCTCCCTTAGGGCAATTAACTAGGACAATTACTCTTTATTTTTGGGCAATGGGAGAGAGAGAGATTTGTAAGGAAAGACAATTAGTTCGAACTCAGTGTCTCTCTGCATCACTCCCTCTCCCATCTCCATCTTTCCAGAAAGGCCTCCACACAATTTGGCTACACCAACGAAAAAAGGAGTTGAGGTGGCACTTGAGAAACAATATAATACTTTAAGTCAGGATAATTTCCACCACAGAATGAATAGGGTACATGTAAGGTCTGAAAACATACTAATTCCACTGGACACAGCAAAATGTTCTGTATTTAAAAAATTAATAACTGTGTTTTTTAAGTCATTAAATTGTTACAAGTTATCTTGATTGAGCAATTATTCATCCCAAGTTTAAGTTTGGTAACAGGCAAGAGATTAAAAAGACCTAATTTTTTTAGGAACCTAAAGCTTGTTCACATGACTGGCAAGGAAGCGACCTTAACAAAAGCAGTCGCTGTCACTCTAGAAGCATCTGCTCCCCCAGAGTGCACCTGTGTGGCTGGTGGAACAAGGCCGGGGCTAACACTGGGAAGTGCCGACAACAGCACCAAAGCAGTGAGTGAGCGCAGCAGGAAAGCAGAGCTGGATGGCGGGGTCAGGAGAGAGAGCACAGACAGGAGAAGGCCGGACGCGGCCTCCGCAGAGGCGCTCCCTGCTAGACTCATGCCAGAGGTGGCTGCACTGGTGAGAGGCAGCGCTGGGCATGGGGCTGGGGAAAGACACAGGAGTGGACAGCAAGGCTCCTCCTACATCCCCGTGTTCTTAACACAACTCCTCTGGGGTAGAGAGATGGCAGAAACCTGGAAAGGTGAGGCCACTTACTAGGCAAGCGGGCCTGGGCCTGCGAGGTGAGCACCAGCCTCTGAGGCAGCGCGCTCTGCCCGGCCGCGTGCGAGGGGGCCTGGGGCTGGGGCGGGGGCTGGCCTGGGGTGGAGGCCTGTGCTGTGGTCTGGGCCCGCAGTTTCGCAGGATGGGCCGGGCTAGCGGCTGTGCTGGAGGCCGAGGCGGGCTGGTGTCGTGGAGCACTGGCGGAAGCCTGAGAGGTCTGAAACGGGGCTGCTGCTGCTGCAATCGATAAGGTTTGTTTGTGCAAAGCTGTTAGAGGTTCTTAATAAAATACAATATTTTAAACCGAATTTTAAAGAAATAAAATAAACATTTCACACTGTCTCTCAAATGAGAAGCCCCCTCTTAAGGAAAAAAAAAAGGAGGGGCCATATAGTTTACAGAGTGAGAGAAACGTAATTTTACATGTCGTCAATTATCTTCACTTTGAGCTACGCGGTACATTTCTCAGAGTAAACAGAAACTGTTAGAAGTCAGCCCAACCAAACATTAGTATCAATTAGAAACTATTTCCTAAACACACAAAAAAAACATCAACAGAGCTTCCACTCATATTTCTATACAGAACGCTGGCAACAATGCAGGTCTTCTCATTTATTTTTAGCTCAGAAAACCCAATGGACATGGTGTGGAGGGCCCCTTTGGCCACGTGGTGAAATACTACTTTTAACTATTTTGATGACCTTTTCTACACTATCCTTCCTCAAAAGAATAATCAAGTTCAAGTGACAGCACAAAATACAATATGAGCAGACGTTCTCAGGAGTCTCCTAGACGACTGCACGCATGCGCCTCTTGTCAACAGAAACAGCCTGCCCAGTGGCTGTCAGTATCAGATCAACACTTATTAACCTAGGAGTGAAATTTCTTCAATAGGGAAAACATCCATTACCAGCCATCAAAAAGTCTAAAACTCATCAAGAACTCAACAAGGCACCTTCAGAGAGCCAGCAGGTGGTGCCTATTCCCACTTGGGGACGATTACCACGTCCAGAGGCGCAAGAAGAAAGTGCCATGAACTTGTCCCACAAAAACCTCCACAAGGCGGAGAGCAGACAACTACGTGAAGTCTACCTTTTGCCTCCGGATTGGCAGAGAATGTGGCGATGGGCGGCCGTCCTCGAAGCGGGCCCTGTGGAGCAGCAGAGGCCGTGGTGGGGGCTGCCGTCCGGGGCGGGTGAGTGCTGGGGAAAGCCACGGTGCGACCCTCGGGCTTCTGGCCGTACTGCACAGGCTGAAACAACCTAGATGCCCGTTGTTCCAGGCAAGAAGACACAGAGCATCAGACCACAGAAAGAACAGGCCACCTCAAGGAGCCGGGGTTCACCGCTGCCCACAGGAAGCCAGCTCAGGGGCCAGCACCCAGAGTGCAGTTTACAGAGGGAAGGGAAAGACGCCTAAGTACTGCCCTAGGTAAGCTCCCCCCCAAGCCCGGTAGCAGTGGCTAAGAAGACTTAAGTACACCAAAGTGGTATGTTACATCTGCCCAGATTCCTGGGAATACAAGGATGAAAGCTGTTTTAACTTTCACAATCGTATCAATGTAGATTAGAAAACAACACATCTATTATAGCACAAGGGCTAAGGGGAGTGAGAAGAAACATCAACTTGACAAAAGTCTGATCAAGTGGCCGTACAAGTGATGGTTCACTGTTGCCTCAAACTCCTGGCTTCAAGCAATCCTGCCTCAGTCTCTAAGTAGCTAGGAATACGGGTATGCACCACCACGCCTGGATTGTATTTTTTTTTTTTTTTGAGAGATAGGGTCTCACTATGTTGCCCAGGCTGGTCTCCAACTCCTGGGCTCAAGCGATCCTGCCACCTTGGCTTCCCAAAGCATTGGGATTACAGGCATGAGCCACGGTGCCCACTTTAAGCTGGGAACTATACTGGCCATTTTCAAAACCCCTATACAACGTAACAGGCAGAGATGGCCATCAAAAGTCATTTTTAGGCCGGGCGTGTGGTCTCACACCTGTAATTCTAGCACTTTGGGGGACTGAGGCAGGAGGATTCCTTGAGCCCAAGAGTTCAAGACCAGACCGGCAACAGAGTGAGACCCCTGTCTCTATTAAAAACTTTTATAAACTTTTTTGTAAAAGGCCATTTTAAAAACACAGACTAGTACCCACTAGAATGGGTGCTGTTCATTTAACTGAGGGCTGCAGGCTCCCTGAGGAGCAGCCTGCTGGGTCGTGGCTCCTCAAGCTAAGCAGAAACCTCTGGTACTGACGAGGGGAGGGTGATCCACTCAAAGTCCCAGTGAAGCCAAGGACAGAAGTGCCAACAAGAAAGACTTGTCTGCAGAACTGGCCCCTCATCTCTGAACGCCTCTCTCCTCTCCTTTCCTTTTTAACCCAAGCACAGGATTTGGGATACTTCCAATTGCTAGATTTAGACTATGAGTCATTTATATCTTGTTTTAATCATCTAACGTGTCTGTCCCTCCCAGCCTCACGGCATTGGCAAAAGCATCACTTCAGAATCATTCACATGTCACTTGTAAGACAATGACATCACGGTGGGGGTGGAGCCCTCTGCCTGCCACACTCACGACACGTGTGGTCCGGCCACACCAGCCTCCACCACAGGAGGCACCAGGTTAAATGCAGCCCTGATACCCACCCTACCCTGAAACTGCCACAAAGACGATCAAGGAGGTTGCTGCTCAGGGAGGCAAGTAGTTGCACTGCACCACACAGCCTAAAAGGCATCTGCACAGCCACACGTACCACAGCCAAGGACATCAGCAAGGTCCCAAGAGCAGCAGGTAACCCAAGTACATTAGCAGCCTTTCTTTCACCACGCACAGACCCGGGTCAGCTGCAGGGACCCTGGGAGCCGACCCTCCCTGCTGCCTCTGGGTCGCACGCACCTGCTGGCCTTCAGCTTTGCTGCTGCTGGTCGGGCTGCTGGGGCTGCTGAAATGGAGATTTCTTCCATGAGTTTCCGTGGTATCTTTTTCTTAGACAGCAATTCTGCCTCGTGACGAGTGATTTTATTTTCTAAGCCGATGAGATCAAACATAGAAAGATCTGTTTCCTAGAAAGAAAAAGAAAAAAAGTCTTGCTGCATGAAGTGGCATAAAAAGCACCTAAGAATCAAAACTGATTTCTATGGCAGGGCCCTAACGTGGGCATCCAGACGCGCCCCCTCTAACGGCCGCTCGGCAAGCAGACCCTCCTCCACGCCAACACACAGGTGCTGTCATGCCCTTGGTGAAGTACTAAGGATGCACCGTGCATGCTCAGCTGCTTCTCACAGTCCACAATCCACACAACACCAAGAAAGTCTGCCCTCAGCATCTCTGCACCCTGCAAGCCCGCCTCCCTCAGGTAAACTTCCGGAGGCGGAACACTCCGGCAAGGGGTGGCAAGCCATCAGTGCTGCTAGACAGTGCCATGTATCACAGAGCTGCAATTGCAATTGCAGAAGAAGAGCTGGTTGAGAACCATTTCCAAGAATGGTTTTATCTATAATGTGCCTGGAAAAGACATCCAACAGTGATTCCGCTTTCTGGATCCTCCACTTACCCTCCAGAAATCTCTCTCCAGTGCCTTCAGGATTAGAGATGCAGACGGATATTCCAGGGGCCCCGCCACATAGGAAGAGCCTGGGTGCCGGGGCTCGACGAGCCCAGGGTGATTGCAGATGCGCTGCAGCCGCACGAGGATGCTCAGGACATTGACAAAGTGCCCGCTCTTCAAGGCCTCCTGAGTGCTGCCCGTGGAGGAAGAAGCATGAAGCATTCAATCCAAATGGCACATGGACATATTCCCACCCTCACGATCAACTGTCTCAACTCCAGAAAGGTGGACAGAAGAAGATTTTTCTAGGTCCGTTTACTGAGTTAGAGAGAGTGGCCATTCAAGACCACGTCCCAGGCAGGGCCTTCTGCACTTGCTCGCCATCCCCGTTTAGAGTGACACCGCCCCACCAGAGCTGACCAGAGACAGCCACTCCAGTTCATTCTTCATTCACAATCATAGCGAATGCTCTCAAAGAGACGTGAGGGGCAACCGAGGGGGATGAGCAAAGTGAGGGGCAGGGTGAGCGCAGCAGAGCAAAGCCCCTCACACAACTGCTTGGCAGCTCTGACACCTGGTCCTGCACTGGCCCTGCAGGCGGTGCGCAGGGGTAGACAAGGGCCCAGGTCCCTGCCCTGTGCGTCTTACCACCCAGTGAAGGGGGCAGACAGAAGGACCTACAACGCACACTGGGACCAGGGCTGGGTAGGAAATGGGACCGTGGTAGGGAGTAGCCCTCTGGCGTGAGCACAAAGCACCAGGCAGCCTGAGGGAGGAAACCAGGGTGACAGTGACGACAGGTAACTGGTCTGGAGAGAGATGGCAGACTCATGGGAAGAGAAGGGAGGAGAGAGCAATGGCAAATTTCCAACCCAAACAACTGGGTTGATGGTGGCGCACACCCTAAAACGGGAACACCAGGGAGGGAGCCAGGCTTGGGAAAACACGAACTCAGTTCTGCCATGCTGGATGTGAGGAGCTCAAGGGTCAGCTCAAGCGCAGGTGACAGAAACCACCATGACATCAGCACAGAACCCAACCAGGGCCGGCACGGAGGCTCACGCCTGCAATCCCAGCACTTTGGGAGGCCAAGGTTGACAGCAGCACGCACCACAGAACCCAACTAGGGCCGGCGTGGTGGCTCGCCTGCAATCCCAGCACTTTGGGAGGCCAAGGTGGGCGGATCACTAGAGGTCAAGGGTTCGAGACCAGCATGGCCAACATAGTAAAACTCCGTCTCTACTAAAAATGCAAAAAAAAATTAGCCAGGTGTGGTGGCGCATGCCTGTAATCCCAGCAACTCGAGAGGCTGAGGCAGGAGAATCACCTGAACCTGGGAGGCAGAGGTTGCAGTGAGCTCAGATCGTGCCACTGAACTTCAGCCTAGGTGACAAGAGTGAGACTCTATCTCAAGAAAAATTTTTAACAAAACAAAACAAAACAAAAAAACGAAAAACAAAAACCCAAGCAGGAGGGCTCCACAGGGGAGCCGATGCCTGGAGTCTTGAGTCCCCACACAGCTAGGCGCATGAGAAGCACATTGCATAGGGGCTGAGAAATGAGTGGAGACCGAAAAATGGAGACAAGCATCGGGAGAGCTCCTGCGAGCCTGGCTCTGGAGAGCAGCGGTGGGAAGGAAAAGAGGCCAGGGAAGGACTTACATGCACAACGGCCGGGGCACAGCACGTGCTTCAAAAAGAATGGCTGAGAAGATGGATGATTCCGGAGAAGGGATGGAACTTAAAGCCCACATGGACGGGCTGATAACAGAAAGGCAACTCGCCCTGGCTAACAGGAACCAGGAGAGGCCAGCACAAGTGCAGGGTGGTCTGGGCAGGTAGGGAGTCTGGTCTGGCAGCTCTGGAGCTCACGGTACAGAAACATGAGCGCTGCCCTCACGGCAGCGGGTGTGGCACGGTCCCTGCAAGAGGGAGGAGCTGACCAGGACAGGACGCTCCTGGACCACCCGAGGATCCCGTTGAGCACCGGACAGCGCCCCAAACACTTGATTACCAGGTGCTCTAGGGGGGCGAGGCGTGCGCACACCTAATGCACTACAGCTTGATTTCAAGGAAAGAAAGAGGAAAACGTGCATGAGGAGTCCAAGTGCCCTCCTGCCATTCCGCCCGGGGAGCAGATGCCACACAGCCAGCCTGAGCCCAGCAGAAGAAGACATGCTTTCCCCCTACAGGTCCCAGGGCCACCAGCCTCTCACACCTCAGACAACACTGCAACCCTGAAGGCAAACCACCATGTTGCATGGGCACAACCCCAGAAGGGCAATGGGTCAGACTCCCTGAGATGGTCCCTGTACGCAGGGCGTGGTCAACGTGACTTCCCTGACACGCTGGCGCCCAAACCCTGCATACGTTGTGAGCCCTCTCCACTCAAACGACAACTAGTGTGTTACCAGCTGGCATAGGCTGATTTCAGTATTCTACTGAAAAATCTGACACCAGAGCTTCAGCAACGTGGTAAAGCGTTTTCTGTCCACGCATACAAAGTTTCTACAATGCCTGGAGAGTCTCGCCACTAACGGCGTGGAGTGAGGTGCTGCTCCACTGCCCTGCCTCTTGGAGAAAGGACGGTTGTACTGTGTCATTTGTGAATTTGAGAAATTCCACAGTCATCATGCACACTTACTTTCCTTCCTGAAATCTTCACTCACCAGGTTTAAGCTGCATTCACAGTCACCCTCCTCTCAAGGGTGCCCAGGCGCCACGTGCACATGCACAGAACCCTGGCAAGCCCCTGAGTGCATGCCCTCCGGCTGCAGAGCAGAGGATGAGGCACAGAGAGGGAGACCCAGGACGGGGGGTGGGGGGGGTGTGTGTGTGGCTAACATGGGCTCACCCCTAGTCTCCGCAAACCACAGTCTGCTGTGCCCATGGCCACGGAGTGCACTCACACGATCGCCTGGCATCTGCTCCCCCACAGCACCTCACCAGGGTCCCCATGTCGTCTCCCCACAAGGAGGGGAGCACATGAGCACATGGCTGGTGGAGGAGTGGGGTCGCTGATCCAGTGTGTCTGACTGTGGCCTGTGAGGGACACTGAGGTGGCATGGGGTAGGGGGTAACCCTGCAGCACTGCCTCATGGCCACACCCCCAGCAGAGACTGAGTTGTGATGACTAAGCACAGATAAATTTCAAATCCTCCAAAACTTGACTTCCAGGGTTTTTTGTGTTTCTTTCATTTAAACTCAGAAAACTGGAAAGCCAGACAGATCAAAACCAGGCACATCTGACGACCTCAGAGGATCAAAGGGGGGCCCCACACTGTGTCAACTCCAGGGGCACAGCTTCCAGCACCAGCACGTCCCTGCCAGAGGCACAGCAGCCAGCCATCACATGGTGTGCGCTGAATGGCGCATTCCACCCCATGCAACACCCCGCTCACTGCGCCGCAGACAGCAGCGTGCCACCTCCTGTGGGCCACAGCTGACCCAAGTTCTGGGGCCTCCAGGCTGGCTGTGGGAAGACGAGCTGCTCAATCATCGTCTCTCCCAGATGAATGGAAACTAAAATGCCCACAGAATTCTCTGGGCAACACAGACAGCAGCACCAGGACACCACCCTACACATGGCGGCTACACAGGAGTGGGGCTTCTGAGACAGGAAGTACAGCAGGGCCAGCATGAGCCTGAAACACCTGAGGCTGCAGAGTCTGCTGCCCCCAAGAGGGCACCTCGGCCTCCAGCTCCAGACACCCAATCCTTATGGAAAGGAGCTTTCTGCTGAGGCCACAGAAAGGGCCTCTGTCCCTCACAGGCAGGGACACCGAAGGGGGCACATGCCCAGAGTCCACACTCACCCGGGTTGTAGGATAACATCCTCGTATAAGGCTTTTTGTCGGTTAGAAAGGCGACACTTCAAAACATGCTCATATTTCTTTGTCAGTTGCTTTTCCACATCTCTCTTAGTTCTCCTCAAAATAAATGGCTGTGTCACCTGAAAATAAAAAACTGTTTACTGTTTTCTTTCCAAAAATGCTGCTGTAACACATTTACAATGAGGCATACACATGTTTAATCACTGAGCTGAAATGGCAGAGCCCAACCTACCCTGTGTAACCTTATGACCACCTTATGGTAGTAATCCTGGCTCTCTTCACTGGGGGCCCTCAGAGGGGAGCTCAGGTAGGGTCTGGAGATCCCTGGGACCAGGAAGTGCACCATGGTCCAGAGCTCCAGGAAGGTATTGTGCAGCGGCGAGTCGATCAGAAGCAGGCGTTGTTGGCTGCAAACAGGACAAGAGACAACACTGGAATTCTCCAGCCACGGGGCTGGATGCAGCAGCGTCTTCTCCGACAATGTGTGAGAAAAGGGACAGTTAATTTGACACTGTGAATGTCAACGTGCACATGACTGAAAAGGGGGGCTGCATTGACCCAGCTCTGGGGCTTTCTGGCCCACATGCTGGGATGAAGATGAAAAGCAATTCTCTAGCTCAAAGGCCATTTTTTGTGTCTGTAATTATGCAGATTTCTTCAAGAGAACCTTTTACATCAACAGCAAAGAACACTCAATGACAAGCACGGAACACACAGACCTCTGCAGGGTGAAAACCGCTTCCCAGTGCCTCTCGGTCATGCCTTTCACACGCTGCATCTCATCAATGATCAGACACTTCCAGCGCACTCGTGTGAAGGCGGTGAAGCCCCGGAAGAACTGCGTGTAGGACGTGATGCAGACGTGGAAGCTGTTGGGTTCGGCCCACTCCTGCAGCACAGAGAGGATGGCTCAGTGCCTTCGCACCCCACGGTCTTCCAAAACCACCTTGAGGACACACGCTTCCCAAAGCTCTCCACCCAGTGACTCCGTTCCCACCTATAATTCTACTCGCTTTTTTAAATAACTTGCTATTACCGCACAGAAAATGGCTGCGTTTATGTTTTTATCTCTTCCTCTAGGGGTCTAAAGCAGTTTCGTTGACAAATTAAGAAGCTATTCTGCAGGCGCTGACAATTACCATTTGGAAAATACTGAGATTATAGCAGAGGATCCTGAAGCAGGGCGAGCTCTTCTAGTATCTAATCAAAACAAGGGGAAGTGTGCTCAGAAAAATAAGAGATGTCAACATCTGTATTGCAACTGACTGCATTATATGCTTTCTAAAAACAAACTAAAAGCCAGACACAGAACTATGGCTTGAATGTGTTCCCTCCAAAATTCATGTTGAAATCTAACGCCCATGGTGGTAGTATTAACAAGTGGACACTTCCCTGCTCTCAAGGATGAACTTGTGCAGTATGAAACGGCTGGAGGGAACCAGCTTGGAGCCTTTTGCCCTTCCATCCCTTCCGCCATGTGCCCTCCAAAACATGCAGCAGCAAGGCCCTATCTGGGAAGCGGAAACCAGGCCCTCACCAGACACTAAATCTGCTGGCATCTGGATCTTGGACTTCACAGCCTCCAGAACTGTGAGAAATAAATGTCTATACTTACAAATTACCCAGTCTGTGACATTTTGTAATAACATCAAAAACAGACTAAAATAGTAAAAAAGAAAATACTACTGAAAGCTCACTTTTTCAGTAAACACTACTCAACACAATGTCGTCTAATGGTCCAAAATGTTCTACTCAATGGAAAGCTGTGATGAATCTACCTTTAGCGACCTTGTACTAGAAACTATAGGGCAGAGAAAAATTTTTAATAAGTTAAAATTTGTTGCAGAAACGTTATCTATTAGGCACGTTGTGCAAATGTTTCTATGGGTTTTAAATTCAGATCTGGGGGCACCCAGCTTCTCCTCTGTGCCTGTGGAAGTCAGCAGGGCCTCCAGGGAAAAGTGCCGCACTGCCCCAGAGAAGACCATTTCCGGAGGAAACTGCCCCACTTTCTGGGCAATGACACTGAGCTCTGTGCACATCTGGGCCTGCGAGGGTGTGGCCCTTCTCGCAGGGAACGGCCAGGCCGAGGCGGTACTGTCTATGCTTTCGAGGGGAACAACATAAAGGTTTGTTAACTCATGAATGAGTGATTTTTAATAATTACATTAGTAAGCATGTCTTCACATTTTTTAATGTGTCTTTTATAAAAATTAAGATGGCTTTCTGTTCAGCTTTATTTTATGTTTAAAAAAAAAATACCTGTCTCTTTGCTTTGAGTTCTCTGTGGCTGCCAATATATGAGAGGATTTTGAGCCCGGGACACCAACGTTTCAATTCAAGCTCCCACTTGAGTATATTACAACTTCTCACAACAACAAGATGGGGGCCCCAATTACCTACAAAGGAAAAAACAGAATTTTCCACGTCAAAGTATCTGTCATGTCCAGGCACCTAGCACTGTGTCTGACCAGAGACGCTTCCTCAGTATGAGTACGTGTGACATGAACCACCACACGACTGAGGCAGACTTGGGGGGAACAAGTGCATTCGTCTGGAGCCAGCACACCGCCCAGAAGCTGCTCCTTGGTCCCCAGGGTGCTGCTGCACAAGCAGCAAGCCTGGCTCAGAGGAGACCTCAGTAGACACACATTGAATGAACAGTCCCAAGAACACCCTGGTGTTCATTCAAACCACTCTTGAGCTCCTCCAAGAGACCGGAGGAACAAGCGACACTTAGAAAGTAGACTCACAGACAAAGAGAGCCCCAGACCCTGCTCAAGTCCTTCCCATAAGCCAGGCGACCATGCAGCAGGCGTCTAAATTGTGTTTTGTCAGCCAAGGGCTTGTGCCCATCACTGCTTCCCAAGCTTTAGTGAGGGCACATCCAAACCATCCTAAAATACATTGTTTCAAATTTCCTTCTTCAGAAAACTATGATTTTTTTTTTTAAGATGGAGTTTTGCTCTTGTCACCCAGGCTGGAGTCCAACGGCACAATCTCGGCTCACTGCAACCTCTGCCTCCCAGGTTCAAGTGATTCTCCTACCTCAGCCTCCTGTGTAACTGGGATTAGAAGCACACGCCACCATGCCCAGCTAATTTTCGTATTTTTAGTAGAGATGGGTTGTCACCATGTTGGCCAGGCTGGTCTCAAACTCCTGACCTCAGGTGACCCGCCTGCCTTGACCTCCCAAAGTGCTGGGATTAGAGGCAAGAGCCACTGAGCCTGGCGAGAAAACTAAGGTTTTTAAAGATTATTAGAGGAATACATACGAATTTCAACTTCTGTGCTATAAATGAAACATAAACCAAGTTACAAGACAGACTTAGTAGACTTTAAACAAGTATTTACAACACATCCATCTACAGCCATTACTGCTAATATGCAAAGCATTCCTGCTGATCCTGGAAAAGAACCACCCAATAGAAAAATAAACAAAGGATATGAACAGAAGTGTCACAAAGAAAAAAATATAACAGGACAATAAACTCTTTAAAAGACATAACCAGCTGGGCACGGGGGCTCACGTCTGTAATCACAGCACTTTCAGAGGCTGAGGCAGGCAGATCACAAGGTCAGGAATTCAAGACCAGCCTGACCAATACGGTGAAACCCCGTCTCTACTAAAAATACAAAAATTAGCTGCGCATGGTGGTGTGCGCCTGTAATCCCAGATACTCAGGAGGCTGAGGCAGGAGAATCGCTTGAACCTGGAAGGCGGAGGTTGCAGTGAGCTGAGATCATGCCACTGCAATTCATCCAGCCTGGGCAACAGAGCAAAACTCCACCTCAAAAAAAAAAAAAAGACACAACCCAAGGAGTAAGTAAACACAAATCAAATCCAGATGGTATTTTAACCCCCAGTAAAAAACAAGATTAAAAAAAAAAGAAGAAGAAAAGAAAAGCTGGCTAGGCACAGTGGCTCACAGCTGTAATCTCTGTAATCCCAGCACTTTGGGAAGCCAAGACAATCTCTGTAATCCCAGCACTTTGGGAAGCCAAGACAGGAGGATCTTTTGAGGCCAGGAGTTCGAGACCAGCCTGGGTAACATAGTAAGACCTCATCTCTCCAAAAAAAAAAAAAAAAAAAAAAAAATTGGCCAGATATGGTGGCATACACCTGTATTCCCAGCTACTTGGGAAGCTGAGGCAGGAGGATCGATCACTTGAGCCCAGGAGGCTGAGGTTGCAGTGAGCCAGGATCACACCACTGCTCTCCAGCCTGGGCAGACACCTGTACCAGCACCTGCACTGATGCAGACCACACACTAAGGCAAAGCCACATCAGCTCCAGTGCTTGCTAGGCCTCTATCGTGGTTGACTCCAATCTTTCTATACTCATCCCCCACCGTCCCCTCACACCCCCTTGCCCTCACACTAGCCTTGGTGGTGTTCCTGGATGTCAGCTGCATTTGTAGCCTCCACCCCCAGGGCCCCATCTCCCTGAGACCTTGCCCCAGCTGGCCAGGATCCTGTCACTATGCTGGGTCATCAGTCCATTTCAAGGTTCATCTGTACCAGTGTGGGGTTCCTGAAAGCAGGGCTGCACCCTCAGGACCTAGAAAAGTGCCTGGGGTCTGTGACAGCCACCACGTAAGGAGCAGATGAATGAATGCTGAATGATTCACTCATCTGTTCAACTGACCAAATACAATCCCCTAGTTTTAGAAGCACAGGGTACTTTCAGGCTGGGCATGATGGCTCATGCCTGTAATCCCACCACTTGGGGCAGCCAAGGCAGGCAGACTGCTTGAGCCCAGGACTTCAAGACCAACCTGGCAACATGGCAAAACCCTATCTCTATCAAGAATACAAAAATTAGCCAGTTTTTTGTTCAGTCACAGTGATCTTCCTCCTTAGGAGGCTCAGGTGGGAGGATGACTTGCGTCTGGGAAGTCAGGGCTGCAGTGAGCCCTGATCATGCCACTGCAATCCAGCCTGGGCAACAGTGCCTTAAAAAAAAAAAAAAAGAAAAAAGAGTCAGGCACGGTGGCTCAAGCCTGTAATTCCAGCACTCTGGGAGGCTGAGGTTGGTGGATCATTTGAACTCAGGAGTCCCAGACCAGCCTGGGCAACATGATGAAACCCTGTCTCTACCAAAAATTTTTTAAAAAATTAGCCGGGCATGGTGGCAAGTGCTTGTAGTCCCAGCTACTTGGGAGGCTGAGGCAGGAGAATCGCTTGAACCCAGGAGGCGGAGGTTGCAGTGAGCTGAGATCATGCCATTACACCCCAGCCTGGGCAACGAGAGTGAAACTCCATCTCAAAAAAAACAAAAAACAAAACCCTCTCTGGAGCTGAAGGGACCCTCAGCCCTGCCTCTCTCTCCTTAAACTACTTGGACTGAGACCCCCACTGCAAGCCCACTGTGCTCCATTTCTTTTCACACAGCCTTCAGTCAGAGCACCCATGGGGTCATCACTTCCCTAAGCTGACCCTCCTAATTTAAACACGTCCAACTTTTTTTTTTTTGAGACAGAGTCTCGCTCTGTCACCCAGGCTGGAGTGCAGGCTGGAGTGGCTCATTGCAAGCTCTGCCTCCCGGGTTCACGTCATTCTCCTGCCTCAGCCTCCCAAGTAGCTGCGACTACAGGCGCCCGCCACCTTGCGCGGCTAGTTTTTTGTATTTTTAGTAGAGACGGGGTTCCACCTTGTTAGCCAGGATGGTCTCAATCTCCTGACCTCATGATCCGCCCCCCTCGGCCTCCCAAAGTGCTGGGATTACAGGCTTGAGCCACCGCGCCCGGCCCATCTTTACTTTCAAAGCTCAAATATGAAGATGAGGCCACGTCCCCTCTTCTCTGCAGGAATAGCAAAGCCTGCTTTAAGTCTGGAACATATAGTGGGAACCACATTGCAAGATGTTTACTGAACATTTCTCTTACAAGAGCAAGAACAGTGAAATCTTGTCCTGTGTTAGAGACACAAGTCACACCTTCTTCTGCAGCTAGGCACAGAGCAGGAGACTAAGGTGGGCACCTGACCTAAAAGCCAAGAGAGGAAGGGCAGTGAACAGGGAGCTGACTCTAAAGACTGGAAAGGAGGCCAGAGGGGGCCTACACAAGCTGGATGCCAGTCAGAAGTGTCAAGAGGATGAAGAACCAGGTGGGGCTGCCATGCAGAGGCTGAGCCCCCACAGGGTACCCAGGCCCATTCCCTAAGGAACTCGAGCAGTGGATCAGAAACGCTGCCCCACTGACAGGTGAAATCCAGCAAGAGAGACAAGAGGAGGTGTGCACATAGTAACACGAAAAGGATACAGTGAGCCAGGATGCGTGCCACAAACCACCCCACACAGTTGAGAGCCCTACAGTGGGGTTCGTGCCAGTCTAGAAGCAGCAAGGAAAGTGGACCACCTGCTCTGCTGCCCACACACTGCACGGTGACCTGACCCTGGAGTCACAAGGTTCAGTCACAGCCTGATGAGTTTCTGCATTGTATTAGATTTTCACTAATAGTTACTGGATGTTAACTGTGAACTAGTTTTTTATTCATTCATATAATGAATACCTCTGAGCCTCAATTTGCTCAGGTCAAAGGACAGAAGCAAAGAAGTAGATAAGATGGCCAAGTTCCCACACTCCCATCAAACACACTGGCCTACGGTAAGTCTTAGCAAATAGGTATTGTTCAAAAAACTAGCAAACTCTTACCTTCGTTACAAGCTAGGTGGGCAAAAAAAGCAATGATCTGCACTGTTTTACCCAGTCCAGCTTCATCTGCCAATATGCCATTGAGATTCTTCCTGTAGAGCTTGGCCAGCCAGTCCAGGCCAATCTTCTGATAATCTCTGAGAGCCCCGTACAATAGAGGCGGAGCATTAAACTTGACCTGCAGCGATGAACAGATCAAAGAGTGGCTGCTGGTCAAAACAATCACCAAACTTTTTCTAAAAACTGAAACCAAAGTCACACTATAAACCGATTAGAAAGTCACAAAAATGATCTACAGAAAACAGGAAGAGGAAGAATTGCTTCTTTTGGAGACCAAGTCTCGCTATGTCACCCAAGCTGGTCTTCAACACCTGAACATCTGGGCTGAAGCAATCCTCCTGCCTCATCCTCCTGAGTAGCTGGGACTACGGGAACAATGAAGAATTGCTTTTTCTGACAACTCTGTAGTTGGGATAGAGCACTTCACTGGGAAGAGGAAAAGCTTTTCTCATGGCTAAGCTATGTGCTCTGTCTCTCAAAGGCCCATCCCACACTTGAAAAGCTCAGCGCCTCACCGAGGTTGTGACCCGAGCACTGCCCTTGGGCAGGATGGCTTCAGCCACTGCAGTGACGTCCGCAATGTCCTTGGCATTTGGCTTCCCGACATTCATCCTCTCGGCAGCTTTGAACTGATCCATGATGAAAAGTGAGTCAATGAGAACCAAGTCCTTGCGACTCTCCCTGTCGCCTGGACGGTCATCCGCATCTGTAACGACAATAAAACAGAGAAGTGGGGGCTGCTGAGAGGCCTTTATAAATCTGAACCTTTTTTTAAAACAGGAAAAAGTTTATAGAGTCCAACTACTTCAAATACAGAATTAGGCAATAACTTTTTACTTGGAATCCAAAATATCTAACAATGCTATCTGGATAAATGGGCGAGAACTCTTATGAAACTATCAAACCAAGGACCACTCCGGAAAGCCCTCCAAGAGTATAATCTGCCCCAAGTAGTCTGGCATTTTGGAAAATGTCTCCATAGCAATCAGGAGCTGGTATCACAGAGAGATACATGTAGGCGTTTCAGGGTTTAGGGATCTCCCCTCTATCACCAAGAAATAAAAAAGCAGAATGCTTTCCCAAATGTGGGAAACCGGGAGGAGACCAAACCTGCCCCTCCTTCCTCTGGTCCTGCTGGCAGTGTGGGGTCGGGAAAGGCCTGAGCTTCCCAGGGCTCCTGTGGGCCCCTCCCCAACTTCTACGCAGGAGTCTAACTGTCCCAAGAACTGGAAGGAGAGCAGTGAAGGCAGACTTTTTCTGGTATGCTCTGTGCATCTGTTTACAAAGTCTAATAAGTAAAATAAACTACTCAAAACTGATGTGTTAAACAAACACAGCACAGCCTGAATAAACATGCTATCTAGGTCCATAAAACAATGATGTTTATAAATCTAGAGAAAAATATTTTACACCCTTCACAACATGATCAAGCGTCCCAATAGCTGTGTCAGGTTAATAAAAGCACAGAATGTAACAAAATTCTATTCAACATAAAGATACTTATTACATATTTCTAATTTTTTATTTTATCAAACTAAAAGAAATTTTCTAAATCTTGTTTGAAGTCTTTGTCTGTAAGTATTCCGGCTTCTGCTTTTAACCCTGAATTCTTCCAAAGGCTGGTAGCGCACCTTCCTCTCCACTCGTGTCCTCCCCATCAGGCTTCGGCCGGGGCCACTGAGAACTCGGCAGGAAGGCGCCTTCGTACAGCTTCATCAGGTCCAGGAGGGGCAGCTCAGCTGCAGAGGGTTGAGGGCACAAGGGCTGTTACTTTATAACAACTGTCATTTGAATTGGGAAGGAGCAGCAGCCAGGAGAACCACAGTAAGAAGGGCAAGGGGCTTCCTCTCACATGTATTCCTTTTTCCGGCTTTAGATCACTCCTTGGAAAAAGATTACAATGTCTAAAAGCACACTTGTTTTTTCTAAAAACTAAAATGGTTGCCCATTACTGATAAAAGGTGTAAACTATTTTGTTGGGGCGTGCAAGGGGAATCATGAGAAATTACTCAGTAGGCGCAACACACGTTTGGGTCATGACATACCAGAGACCCAGACTTCACCACTACACAGTACAGCCAGGGAACAGCACTGAACTTGCACCCCTGAAATTTATGCAAATTTAAAAATGTATAAAATATTTTCTCTATAAAGATGAGAATCTTTGAAAGAAACTCAACCGTATTCACAAAAGATTTAAAATACCTGAAACAGTCTAAATGAACAGTAACAGTATAGATGAATAAATTAAAATGTAAAAAATGAACATTACTGATAGGAAATAACTGATGAAGATGATATATAAAAATATAAAACATCAAAGTAAAAAATAAAAGCAAAAATGTTAAAAAGTATGATAAAACATAGTTAGGCTTTTTTAAAAAAACACTCACCCTAATTGCTTAAAAAAAATACCACACATTAAATCCCCAATCACAATGGGCAAAGGATATGAAGCTGTTACATACACAAAAGTATAAAGGGTAATGAAATACTTTTTAATTGATCATCCCTGGAAATCAGTGCACAATTTGTTTAGTATAGAATTATCAACCACCTTAAAATCATAACACTGGGAAACTGTTATGAATTAGGTACTCTCACTTGCTGCTGATAATGGCGTAAACTGGCTGGATTTTTCTGGAAATCAACACGGAAAGCTGAAGGGCTTTGGAATCCAATGCCCTCAACCCGGTCGTTTCCCCCTTTAGTGAGTCTATCCATAGGAATGAGAAATGTGAACCCAGATTTCTGTTCAAAGAATGTTCACACAGTGGTAGATCTAACAGGGGAAAACACTTTAGTTGGGTTGTGTACTTGTGATATGTGAGCTTGTCTGCATCTATATTTTATGTCAAATAAGGACTGTTGAGTCAAAACAACAAATGCCATGGACAAGTACCCTACAAGGACCACGTTAAAGGCACTGCCCATTTGGGACTAGCAAAACACCCTTTGAATTCATTTGCTCAGGATGTTAAACATTCGCCACACTGGCTTGATGGACATAGACGTAACGGAGCCCAGTGAAAGTAAGTGTTGGCTGTGGAATCCAGGTGGTGTGTCCATGGTGTTCCTAACAAGGTTCTTCACCTTTCCTGTCTGTCTGATGCTTCCAGAGCAAAATGCTGGGCTGCACCACTATAGCATATGACGCTACATATAAGTAGGAAAAACAAGCCAAACAACCGAAAACTTCCAATAACAAGAGAATTCTGTAAGGTGTCTCAGAACAAACAATACACAGAAATCAGCCTCCACATAGATAAATGAGTTAGAAAATGCAATAGAAGGGAAAAAAACTCATTTAGACAGAAAATTAAATACAGTTGTCCCTCAGAATCCTTGAGGAGTTGGTTCCAAGGACCCTTGGATACCACAATCCAAGGATGCTCAAGTCCCTTATATAATGTATATTTGCACGTAACCTATACACATCCTCTCATATATTTTAAATCATCTCTAGGTTACTTATAATACCTAATACAATGTGAATGCTATGTAAATAGTTGTTACACTATTTTTTTTGTATCTTTTTTGTAATTGTTGTGCTGTTATTTTGGCTTATATGGTTTGGGGATTTTTCTGGTTGGCTGTTTGGTTTGTTTTTATTTGTTTGTTGTTTTAGAAATGGGGTCTTACTATGTTGCCCAGGCTGAACTTGAACTCCTGGGCTCAAGTGATCGTCCTGCCTCAGTCTCCCAAGTAGCCAGGATTACAGGTGTGAGCCGCACCACACCCAGCTGTATTATTATTTTTTACTGTTTTGCTTTGTTTTGTTTTTGGTAAATATTTTCTATCTGTAGTTGATCAAATTCATGGATCTGAAACCATGGATATGAAGAGCTAAGTATACTTAGAATTAAACTTTCAAAAATGCACCACATCTCTGTGAAGAAAGCTCTCACAAGCTCCTGAAGACCATGAAAGAAGCCTTGACCCGACGAGAGGCTCTGTTCATGGATTCAGCTCGACACCATGAAGACAACGGGATGCCCGAGAACCCACCTCCTGCAGTTTACTCCTGGCCTCTCCCACACTGACCTGGCCTGACCGATGTGACCACCATCCAGGAGAATGACAGCTTGTGACTTCCAAGACTCAGTTAAAAAGATACTACAGTGTCTATCCTGCTCCCACACGGACACTTGCTCTGAGACACCAGCCCCAGGTCAGGAGGACACTAAACCTGCCCTCAGCATGCAACAGAGCTCATCAGCTGGCAGAATGAACCAGCCTGGAAGCCTGCCGCATCAAGCCTTCTGAAAACCATCTTCACAGGAGACCTACGCCACAACCACCCAGCAAGGCTGCTCCCAAACTCTGCCCCAGAGAGAGTACACAGTGTACAGCGCTGATTTAACAGGTAATCGAGTTAAGTCAAGAACGCACACCACGATCAGATAGCCACCGCAACAAGAACACAGAAAGCTAACAGAGAAGAGGAAATGAAGTAACTAAATACTTGACTGATGCTTTAACCAGAAAGAGATGACTAAACAGCAGGTGAGAAAACACAAAATAAATTTTTAAATTATGATAGATCTAGGCCCAATTATTAATAGAACAGGCTTAAATTTAATACAAATGTACTAAACACTCCAATTTAGAGACACAGGGATGTTAGAATAAACTGGAGGGCAGAGAAGACCAACTACAAGCTGTTTACAAGAGACATGCTTTATAAAAGAACACAGATTAGAAGTTAACAGAAACTCCCTCTAGAGGAAACTCCCTCAGTGTCAGGCCTAAAATAACTGCCACAATAAACTTCCAATAAATTGTCAAAAATCACAAGGTACACTAGGAAACAATGTACCATCAGCAGAAACCAGGATTCATAAACGACAGCAGAATCAGACCTGCAAAAACGTCGCCCATGCAATTATCAGGCACAGATTATAAAATTTTATATCTGAAGAAATAAAAGACTGAAAGTATGAATACACAGCAAGAGATAATTTTAAAATTTCATGTAGGTTTTCTAAAAAACCATTGGGAATGTCTTAAAACAAACTGGTAACTGGAATTTAACACTTAATCAATGGGTTAACAAAAGACTAGGAAGAGCTTAAAAGAGAACTCATCAAATAGAAAACAGATGTGATAGCATTATCTAGAACCAAGTAAAAATGAAGTAACAGGATAACAATCTTAAATCTATATCTGCACATACTAACATAGCCTCAAAATACATAAAATGAAAACTTGACAGAAACTTAAGGAGAAACAGCTACTCATTATCATAATGGAAAATTTTAACATACTTCTCTCAGTAATTGATAGAGCAAGAAGACAAAAATCAGTAAGGATAAGACAAATTGGATAATGCAATCAAGTTCTACCTGGTGGACTCAAGAGAGAAAAGGGTACCATAACCTGATGAATTCATGTTGTTTTAAAGCATGTATGGAATGTTTATAAACTGGTCCATTCAAAACCCACCTCAACAAAATCCAGATCAGTGAGAATCCCATAAATCCACTGTCTGATCAAAATGCAACTAATGTAGAATAATAGTAAAAATATATATTGAAAACTCTGTATTGTTTGGAAATTAAGAAACACCCTTCTAAATAACTCACAAGTCAATAAAAAATATATATATAGGGGAAATCAGAAAATATTTAAAACTGGATAATAAACATGATATTCAGCTAAAGCAGTATTACAGAAAAATTCAGACCCTTAAATGTTTATATTAATGAGCTAATGAAAATTAGTAAGTTAGTCATCCAAGTTAAAAACTCAGAAAAAGATATTTTTAAAAAAGAAATACTAAGAGCAGAAACAAAACAGAAAACAATACACAGGCGTCAGGTAAAAAAAAAAAAAAAAAGAAACTGACAAACTTTTGACAAGACTATCAAGAAAACAGAGAGGCTTAAACATAGTATTAGGGGAAAGAAGGGACATATGTACAAACGTAGCCAAGATCGGAAACACTGTAAGGAGAAGTTATTGACAATGTATGCCAATAAAATTTTAAAATTTAGATGAAATAAAGAAATTCTTAGAAAATGTGACTATCGAAATTGACTATGAAGAAAAGAAAAAGACATATTCCTCAATTTAATGTACGAGGGCCGGGCGCGGTGGCTCACACCTGTAACCCTAGCACTTTGGGAGGCTCAGGTGGACGGATCACCTGAGGTGAGGAGTTGGAGACCAGCCTGGGCAACATGGCAAAACCCTGTCTCTACTAAAAATATTAAAAAGTAGCCAAGTGTGGTGACAGGTGCCTATAATCCCAGCTACTGAGGAGGCTGAGGCAGGAGAATCGCTTGAACCCAGGAGGTGGAGGTTGCAGTGAGCTGAGATCACGCCACTGCACTCCAGCCTAGGCGACAAAGCAAGACTGTCAAAAAAAACAAACAAAGCATGCAATACCCATCTACAACAGAAACACTGAAGAGTAGATACGAACTTCATTAATCTTATAAAAATATTTACAAAAACCCTACACACCATGTCCATTCTGGAAACACTAAACGTATCATCGCAGTCATCCTGAGAGCAGCAGTGAAGAGCACTCCACAGGACACGTCAGGCCAAGGCTTCCACACACTGTAGATCCTCAGAACAACCCTGGTTATCCCATTTACAACTGAGAAAAACACCACGGAGAGCTTAGACAACCTGACCGAGGCCATGGGGTCAGTAGGCAACAAACATTAGGTTTGAACCATGCAATTATGACTCAACACTCTTAACACTCTGCCTTTCTACCGAAAGTGTTCCCCTTCAAAGCAAGAAAAAGCCAAAGTTGTCCACCACTAGCATGAACTCAACACTGTACTGAAAGTCCCACCAAGCACAAAACGGCAAGAAAAGGTAGTATAAAAGGAATAAGGATTATAAAGGAAAAACTCTTTCTTCAGAGAGTATACAAAGACTTTGCATACAAGACTGTATGCAAAGAATTAATGAACAGAGTTCAGAAAAGTTGGCTGGGCGCGGTGGCTCAAGCCTATAATCCCAGCACTTTGGGAGGCCGAGACGGGCAGATCACGAGGTCAGGAGATTGAGACCATCCTGGCTAACACAGTGAAACTCCGCCTCTACTAAAAAATACAAAAAACTAGTCGGGTGCGGTGGCGGGCGCCTGTAGTCCCAGCTACTCGGGAGGCTGAGGCGGGAGAATGGCGTAAACCCGGCAGGCAGAGCTTGCAGTGAGCTGAGATCCAGCCACTGCACTCCAGCCCGGGCGACAGAGCGAGACTCCGTCCCAAAAAAAAAAAAAGAAAAGTTGCTGAGTATAAGAGAAACAAAATTGACTGCACTGACACGTATCAGCAATATATTTAAAATATAATTTTAGAAAATATACCACTTGGCACAACTTTTAAAAATATATAGTACCTAGAATTAAATCTAACAAAAGAGACACAATCATCAAATTTCATGGAAAGCTATTTAGGAAGACCTAGCTGAAGGGAGAACTATATTTTGACCATAGACTGGAAAGGCTGAACTTCATAAAGACGGCAATTCTCACAAAGCATCCATTAATGCAATTAAATTCTAATCAAAATTCCCAATAGGTTTTTCTGTGAAGCTTGATGAGCTGCTTCTAGCACGGATCTGAAATAGTCGCCAAATAGACAAGACCCTCCCAACGCAGAGCAAGGCAGAGAACTTACCTGACCAGACATCGAGAACCACTATAAAGCTACAGTAAGAAACAGTGTGTGGCATCAGTACAGACTGGCACAAGTTTTGCAATAAAAGAATAAAGATCCCAGAAATAGCCGTGCATAAAAGGAAACTTGTTTTATGTCTGAGCTGGCATTGAAGATCAGTGGGGAAAAGATTGGCTTTTCAATATGACTTTCCAAATATACATTTGGGGGAAAAAAGGGAAACTGCACTCATTTCACAATGTAAGAGTAAAGCAGAAAAATTCTAGATGACATATCCTTGTGAACAAGACTGACAAATTCAACTACAGTAAGTCCTCACTAAACATCATCAATAGGTTGGTTCTTGGAAATTGTAACTTTGAGCAAAATGACGTATAGCTGATCGGTGGACAACCTGGGTTGGAACTGTGAGGGTCCTCTATCCACAGCAGGACCAACCCCTCCCCTTCCCCCTACCCCACTACCTTCTTATCCTACGCAACGTGAAGATGACAAGGGTGAAGACCTTTATAATCATCCACTTCCACTTCAGAGTAAATGTATTTTCTCTTCCTTATTTTTTAACAACATTTTCTTTTCTCTAGCTTACTTTGTTGTAAGAATACAGTACATAATATTAAATATACATAACATATAAAATAGGCCAGGCACAATGGGTCACACCTATAAACCCAGCACTTTGTGAAGCCAAGATTGGAGGCTCACTTGAGCCCAGGAGTTTGGGACTAGCGTGAGCAACACGGTGAAATCTCGTTATCTACAAAAAACACAAAAATCAGGTGGGCATGGTAGCGCACACCTGTAGTCCCAGCTACTCAGGAGCCTGAGGTGGAAGGATCGTCTGAGTCCAAGTCAAGGCTGCAGTGAGCTGTGGTCTGCCACTCACTCCAGCCCGAGTGTCAGAGTGAGACTGTGTCTCAAAAAAAAAAAAAAAAGAAAGAAAAAGAAAAAAACCACATAAAATAAGTGTTCATCGACTGTTTCATATTATTGATAAGGTTGCCAGTCAACAGTCAGCTGTTAGTACGTTTTGGAGGAGTCAACAGCTATATGCAAATTTTCAACAGTGCAGGTGGCGGGGGCAGGCTGGCACTCTTAATTAATCCCCACATTGCTCACTGTATAACAAACCAATGTTTTTTCCTCATGGCTATAATAAAACAACATTAATGTAACGCCATTTCACTTCAAGTTGCAGTTTCCAGGAACTCACTGACAACATGAAATGAGGACTTTATGTATGCTGAAATTAAGAACACCTTTCATCAAAAGGTACTGCAAAGAGTGAAAAGATACACCACTAACTGGGAAAATATCACTGCAACACAGAACTGACCAAGAATTCATGTCCAGAATATATAAAGACCATCACCAACAAGTCAATACAGAAAGAAAACACCAAACTGAGCCAAAACGAACAAAGGAAGAAACATGAAAAGATGCTTCACTTCATCAGTTATTAGAGAAGTGCAACTTAAAACCACAAGGAGATACCACTTTTTATCCCCAGAGTGGCAGACAATACCAAGAGTTCCTGAGATGTGTGATAGCAATGAAAGAATAGCAATAAAATTAAATATATATAATTCATTTTTTAAAAAAGAGTTCCTTCCTGAGATGTGGAGCTTGGCACACCCACTCTAAACAACAGTTACTCTCCTGCCCCTGATCACAGGCAAGCCACTCATGCACACGTGCCTGGGGAACAGGAGAACGCTCACAGCAAACACAGGGAACCAGGTGAATGGCCACCAACAGCACAAAACATAGTCAGTGACATATTTACAAAAACAATACTGCCTGGCAAAGACACAGAACGCATTGACAGCAACACATAACACCGTGGCTGAACTCAGGACACACAGGCTGAGTGGAGAGAGCAAGCCCGTCAGGCTGTGGTGGGATTCGTTCGTATGAAGTTCTCATACATGCAAGACGAACAGTACATTCAGGGAGACACATGCAGGTGGCAGGGAAAAAAAACAGTCAGAGCAGAGTCCTACACACAACCCCGGAGGGCCAGGACCTCCAGGTCAGGAGAGACAGCAGCAGGAGGCACACAGGGACTGTTTTCCATAAAACAGGCACTGCTGCCTCAATGTATTATTATTCACATCTCACACGTTTTAAATGTTTCTTTGCACCTACTGAGGTAGCAACAGCCTACCTTCCTTGGCTAAATTAGAAAGTTCTGTTTGGTGGTCCACAACGCCTTCGTTTGCTTCCTCCTCTTCAATTGTTTCCTCTTCGTCGTCCACTAAAATGGTTATCAGCGAGCGTCACTGAGAGGCAACACCACTTGCATGGCTGTTACTCATTATACACCATAAGGCTTCGAAATTATTTTGCATAGCTATTAAAGAAATTGAAACTGAGCTTTTAAACTTCTCAGGTTAAATTTGGAAATGATCATTTAATTAAATGAGCAGGAAACTGGAAGCATATTTCCCCTTCCATTTCAGGCTGTGAATGACAGCCCTGGTTTTTCCACACATGGCATACCTTCTTCAGGCCAACATACGGAAGGCTGTCAACCCTCCTACCTTCCTGCAGAGCCCCACTGTGGAAAGCCCACAAGCATGCCATCCGGGATCACTGTGAACTCATCACTGCCATCGCCCATCTCATGAGGCCCAGCCACATCAGCCTGACACTCTCATTGGCTCTCCTGTCCTCCACAATCACCAGCTCAAGCCCGCTCCGCTCTCTTCAGCCTTCCAGCCCTGAACCTCACACCCACTCGCCATAGAGATCTTGGCTCCTGGAGAGAAAAGAGCAGCAACCAGCATCCCCGCAGCCAAACTCCCTCTGTCCACGGATCCTCTCCCCACCTGGGGGCCTGCACCGTCTCTCCTCTCAGCTGGCTCTTAACTTTTCTTCTCACAATCTACCATAACATCTCTCCCTTCCCACCATCAAAACTCCTCACTTCTTCACTACAAGACCCCCACTGCCCACCAAGAAGGCCTAGGCACCTGACCCCAACCACACAAGTCGCTGAGCCTCCGGGTGCCGCCTTTTCTGACTGTACTCGACACCCTGGCGGCTCACGACAGGCCTGGCCATCTCCTCTTCTTGGAAACGCCTTCTGCCATTCCTTCTGCCTTCTGACCACTTGGTTTCCAGAGTGGAGAGCTTCGGAAAAGAAAAGTGAAGAAGACCTCGGGCGGTTAATTTGGCCTTCTCTGAGTTATCCTAAGACATCTTTAGGCATTAAATAGACGTCAAATAAAGGTCTGTTTCAATACAGTTGAGCACCACATAACGACGTTTCTGCCAACAACGGACCGCATATGCAATGGGACCCTGTAAGACTGTAATACTGTATCTTTACATTAGCTTATCTATGTCAAGATATGTTTAGATGCACAAATACCACTATATTCCAATTACCCACAGTATTCAGGAGAGTCACGTGTGTGCAGGTTTGTAGCCGGCGGCACAGGCTGCACCATCTAGGTTTCGGTGAGTACTCTGTACGTTCATGTAACAACAAAATTGCCCAGCAACGCACCTCTCAGAATATACACCCATTGTTAAGAAACACATGACTGCACACAAATGTGCTCCTGAGAATGTGAGAAAATAAGGAAAGTGGAGATGTCAATCTACATAAAGCCAACCGCAGATACCACAGTACAGGCCAGAGAAAAGGTGTTCCTCATGAAGAAATGACCTAATCCTTTTCCAGGTAACAAGAAAGACACAAACCTACGGTACTCTGTTGTGCTTCTCCTGCTGCCTGAAAGGCCAGGGTTCAATCCATCCCCAGTGCAGGATGGTATTATCTAGAATTCAGCACCAGGCCAGGTGTGGTGGCTGACACCTTTAATCCCAGTACTTTGGGAGGCTGAGGCGGGTGGATCACCTGAGGTCAGGAGTTTGAGACCAGCCTGGCCAACATGGTGAAACTCTGTCTCTACTAAAAATACAAAAATTAGCTGCATAGTGATCCGTGCCTGTAGTCTCAGCTACTCCAGAGGCTGAGGCAAGAGAATCGCTTGGCAGGGGCCTGAAAATGCCACCACAATGCCGTGCCAGTGCTGGGCCATGTGCCCGCAGGCTCCTCACTCATCTGCCACATTGCTGTTTCGTTTCTGTCATATGCAGCAGACCTGAATACCGCCAGTTTCATGCCAACAATCTGGTCAAACTCCCTATTGACTTCCAAATAAAAATCAATACATACCAAAGATCAATCTTCAAAAATTTGGAAAAGTTAACACACTTCACCAAATCAAGCCAATAAACCCACACTGATGCTGATCAAAGAGCCGAAGGAGAAACTGCAGGCCTCACCTGGCACCTGACAGGAACCTCCACACAAACACCCAAGAAAGTTTCTCCAGCCTCTCTACTCCTGCTCTCCACTCTGTCTCTAAAAATCCAATCTAGTCCTGAGGACTTCTGTACTCAATCCACATGGGTTTGGAAATAGGTCGTGGCCGGGGCTGTCCCCAGCTCACACACCCAGTGCTCAGGTATCTGTTCTCATTTGAACGAGGTGCCAACATCTAAAATTCACATGAGTTTCTCCTGAAATCCCAATGGCTGGCAACCATGGGTCTACCACAGGACATACCAGGGCCACTTCTCGAGGACAGGAAAAAGCTTGGCCCTGTGCCACAGAAGCATGGGGCCCCAACACTCTCCAAGATGCACCCAAGTTTCCAAACCTCACAAAAGCAGATACAACCGTGTTGCTCCAGAAAACATCCCAAGTGCTCTAGAGATACCAAAAAGTACTCTATACACTGAGAGACATCTGGATAAATACAAAAGTTGAACTTTCCAACCAGCTGAAGATGACAAGACTAAACCCCAAGTCGCCACAGCTCTGTGTGATCTCATCAGCAGCCCTGTAGACAATAAAGATGGCACTGAGGGGGAACAGACCTTCATCATCAGTCAAAGATATGCTAGCTTTTCTTTTTCTTCCAGATATTCCTGAATCCTGAAAGAAAGAAAGAAAAACCACAAGCATGAGATCCAAACACTCAGAATGGGAAACCAAGACAGAAGTGTCCATGGGACAGGGGAAAGCCCCAGTGCAAGCCTGCTGGGCCGCCCTTAGCCTCCATCTGGGGTCGGGTCAGGGCAGGGCAGTCAGGGAGCAAGGACATGATCAATGCTCACTGTGTTCAGCTGTCACTGCCAAATTAACAATGCACGTGAGACCAAGGCTATAAAGCACCAGTATATTTTCAAAGTAGACTGAGTCTATAATGAAAGGGAGTAATAGGCCGGGCGCAGTGGCTCATGCCTGTAATCCTAGCACTTTGGGAGGCCAAGGCGGACGGAATGCCTGAGCTCAAGAGTTTGAGACCAGCCTGGGCAACATGGTGAAACCCCATCTCTACAAAAATACAAAAAAAAAAAAAAAATTAGCCGGGCGTGGCAGTGTGCGCCTGTAGTCCCAGCTACTCGGGAGACTGAGGCAGGAGAACTGCTTGAACCTGGGAGGCGGAGCTTGCAGTGAGCTGAGATCATGCCACTTCACTTCAGCCTGGGCAACAGAGACTCCGTCTCAAAAAAAGAAAAGAAAGGGGAGTAATAGTCACAGCCTATAAATTCCTCTGGATGAGAATGAAAAGGCCCACTCCACTGGAGCTGCTTCCACTCCTTCTCACACAGTACAGCAACAACCCCAAACTTACCAGAGAACTTTCCTGGAATGCATCAAATCCTTTAGGTCTCAATTCTTTCCCTAGAGAGACAAGAAGCACAGTTCATTCCCAAGACCCCCCACGCTTGGCGAGGGCGTCTCTGCTTTCCAGGCAGGGTCCTGCTGCCTCCACCCACGTGCAGGGAAAGGAAGGACACATTGAGTTCTGCCTCTTCCTCCTCATTACGCAGGGCAGTGGTTTTTACTAACTTGTGGCTCTATGCCTTTCAGCAGCAGCCACCTCTCAGCCTCAGGTTCCTCATCAATAACGGGGAAACACAGTGCCCACCCTCCTGGGGGCATCCTCAGAGGCAAACGAAACAGTGAATGCTGCCGCCACTGGTGCTGCGCATATCCTAAGTGGAGTGGCACATAACAAGTGGAGGCAGCTGCTGAAGAAATATCAAAGGAAGAACGACATGGAGGCGTCACCCAGCCAGGCACCCAGGGATCCTCCTGCATGGCAAATGCCTCAAGGAGCTCCTCACTCACTGTCCAGGGACTGAACCCCAGTTCTATGTCCCAGAGTTTATCAACTTGGGGGTGCTGACTCACACCAGCACATCTCAAAAGCACTGAAGCATAAAACTAGGATGGCCACACAAAGAGAAATGTAACAATCAGGCAGCTGGCTGATGAGCAGATGTCCTCTGTGGGAAGCCACAGTGCCAGGAGACTGCCTGCTGAGAAAAGAATCCGAACAAAGTACCACCCAAGCAGTAGTAAGCCTTTTTATAAAGGGTCATACCTCTCCTGGAAACTTTCTGTAAATTTAAGGCTTTCTTCCTTTTTTCTTCTAATTCTACTTGTAGTTTTATTTCCACAACCTAAATGCAAAGGATTAAATGAATAAGCACGTTACTAAGGATGGGAATTACAGACGTTCTGCATACAAAACACTAAAACACATAAGCAGAGTCTAAAAACAGTGTTTTCCAGCCTCGCCAGTTTGGTGCTTTTTCATTTATTTCATACTAACTACATCCTGCCCAGGTTCTATTAGGTGGTGAGATAAGAATTAAAATTTCAAAAAAGGAAAGCGAGCGACCAAGCGGCCACTCTAGAAGTAACCATGGTGGTGACTTACGCTAACCCTGAAACAACAATACCCAGAGGCCCTCCACGGCATGAAGCACCTCAGAGGGTGGCCACAGTTGAAGTGCATCAACCGTGCAAGACAGACGGAGGCGTGAGCAGCTCATTCAAAGGCCAACGAGCAACAGTCCAGGAGAGTGCACACATTGCCGGCTCTGGTGCTCGAAAGCTTCCTAAGCAAGGTACTGAGCTCTGGTCTCGGAAAGCAGCCTCACCAGCTCCGACAGGCTGACTCTTACAACCCCATGAAAACGGCGGCACTCGCCTGTTCGATATTTGACCAAAAGCACTCTATCTCGCGGGCCGTGGCGGCAGCTATCCGCCTCAGTCTGCTCTGCTCTTCCTTCTTCCCCCTTTCTTCACGGAGCTGCTTCTCCTCATGATGGCGCACCACAGTTCTAACGAGCTGGTGAATAAAAGTGCAAGAATTGTATGTTTTACTCTATGTCATATTGGGAAAAAAAGGATATGTAACTTTTTAAAAATCTTCTCAGGCTAAAATTTATACAATTCACTGCCATATACATTCTTGTATGCTCTTAGGGTGGATTAGGAGAAACAGGACTACCAGCAAAAACCACTATCAATATTTTGCTTGCCTTTTCTAGAAAGTGTTTTTATTTTTTTCACTAAATACACATTATTTTTCTCAAAACTATAACACCATGTTGTGCTATAATCTTCCTTCCCCGTTTAATAGATGATTAACATCTCTCCATGCAATAAACATGGGTCAGCATCTCATTTCATGAATGCTGCACCAGTTACAGAAATTATTGGGCTGGGATAATTCACATTTTTAAAGCTTTTGCTTTAAATTGTCAAACTGCTTTCTAAAAGTTTAGACACTCCACATACCCACCAACAGAATCTCAAACGGGTAGAGAGAATTAAGATGAGAAAAGCTCTAGAGCCCTGAGAGCACAATGGCTGTCACCCCCACCCCTGTTCTAGGGATGGAAACGTGCTCAACCACCGCCCAGACTCTGCGCACACGCCGTGCTCCCACTCAGCCTCCAGCGGGGCTCACTGTCGTCAACACGGGCCCTGATCAGGGTGGGTTGGTCTGCGGCCTCTCCCTGTATACCCCAGCAAGAGGGAGGAGGCACGGGGAGGGGAAGGCCTGGCTGCAGGTGCATCACTCAGCTGTTGCGAGATGGCCCTGGCCTGTGCCCTGTAGGTCCTGCACTACTCTTCAGCCAACCCCACCAGCTCCCACTCCAGCCCATCAGCCAGCCCCCATCCATCCAGCCTGACATCCACATGTCCAGCCTGGCATCTACACATGTCTGGCCCCCTGCCCTGTCCAGCCTGGTGTCCACCATGTTCAGGACTATCTTCTTTGTGGAAAGGCTGGTTTAAGGAAGAATCTGGGTTTTTCTGAAATGCCTATGAATCTGACTTGAGACCGCTGACCCTCAGAACCCCACGGTTCTCACTCTGTGGTCTCAGCTTTTCTCTGCCTAACCTACATGAAGAGAGCAAGGGGGAGAATTCAGGGTAGGGAGTGGACAAGGCAGGGGACAGAGCACGAGGCCACAGCCTTAAGAGTACAGAAAATATGAACAAGGACACTACAGCCCAAGAAACAGAGGCGGCGACACGGTAATAAGGAAGACAAAGAAGGGCCACGGCTGTTCACACAGTGAAAGTACAGCTGCTTCCCACTGAAGCCTGGGGTTTCTAGAAATCTACCACTTGTTCTCACTTTTCTAGTGTTAGCAGTAGGGCCTCCAGAGTCTTCCAAGGACTCTGCACCTGCTTGGTCAACAGTTAGGAGAAAATAAATTCTCAGCCGAAACTAAAGAGAAAGCTAGACTAGAAGCCCAGGAGGAAGAGCAGGAGGTGGTGTGGCCAGGCAGGAAAGCCTGGGACAGCCCCTTGCTGCCCCTTGACTGACACCAGGGGCCTTCTAACTCTTAGCCTCTCAGCTCCCTGAACAGCCCCAGCCACCAGCCTGGACCTGTAGCACTGGAGATATCCTAACTCCAACTGGCCGGCAAAGCCAGGCAACAAAAGGAAGCTAAATCCACACCAGTGCAGAAGTGCGGGAGCACAGGCTTGATTCCAACAATGCATGCTGGGCTCTGAAGACACCACCCTAGAGACTTAATTACACAGCACAGTTATTCTCCAAACAACAGGGAAGTCTCCTTCCCACACTTCACAAGTTAAGGTCTTTAGAGTGAGCCAGCCAGGCACGGTGGTTCACGCCTGCAATCCCAGCACTCCAGGAAGCTGAAGCGAGCAATCGCTTGAGCCCAGGATTCAAGACCCGTCTGGGTAATGTGGCAAAAAACACAAAAATTAGCTGGGCATTCCAGCCTGGACAAGAGAGTGAGACCCTACCTGAAAAAAAATAAGAAAAAAAAAGTGGGTCTGGAGTCCTGCCCACCATTTACAGCACCACAAACTCGAGCTCCCACCAACGCACACAGCACAGCAACTCCACACATTCCAACCCACCTTCTTCGCAGCGGCCACCTTCCACCTCCTCTCCTGGGCAAAGTCTGTGGCCATCCACTGCATCTCCTCCAACAGATAGTCCCAGTGGGCCTTGGGCCGTGGGGCCTCCTGCAGCTTCGGCAGACGCCTCTGGGACCACAGACCTGCTTTCCTCAGCTCCGCGACGCGCTGATGCACCTGGTTCTCCTGCAGGTGATATACGGGGGATGGTGGGGTCGGTATGTGAAGAGTGTGTTCCACCAACTCACACACCAGAAATCTGAAGCCCTACTATGTAAAAGGCTCAGTCAGGCACTAGGAAGACAGAAAGCTCAAGGTCCCAGTTTAATATCAAAGGTAAGACTCAAACACAAAGGTCAAAGTGGTTCTAGGAGAAGTCGAGGAGCGTGTGACCTTTCCAGGAGCCTTAGAAGAAGCTGGAGCAGGCCGGGCGCGGTGGCTCAAGCCTGTAATCCCAGCACTTTGGGAGGCCGAGACGGGCGGATCACGAGGTCAGGAGATCGAGACCATCCTGGCTAACACGGTGAAACCCCGTCTCTACTAAAAAATACAAAAAACTAGCCGGGCGAGGTGGCGGGCGCCTGTAGTCCCAGGTACTCGGGAGGCTGAGGCAGGAGAATGGCATAAACCCAGGAGGCGGAGCTTGCAGTGAGCTGAGATCTGGCCACTGCACTCCAGCCTGGGCCACAAAGCGAGACTCCATCTCAAAAAAAAAAAAAGAAGAAGCTGGAGCAACTGTCCTGCCCCAGCTTCTATAAAACAGACTAAAACTTTAAAACCTTATGTTTCTACCAAAGTGCTTACAAGGGAAACCATAGGATGCCTGGAATTTGCTTCTAAATAATCTGGAAGGGAGTGGAATAAACGAAATGAGACTAGCTGCATATTGATCACTGTGATAAAATCAGATAATGGGGAACATGGGGTTTATAACACTCTATTTTGATACACGATTCTTTTAATTCCCCTAATGAAGTTGAACAAAATAAATGCTTAGTCATCCAACCCAAAGTAAGTGCTAAGGGCTGGGCAGTGACTCTCAAGGACAGGGCTGCAGACCGGTGGCTGCAGGGACCTCACAGCCTGCAGGGCCCCAGTGTTCAAGCTTGTCCCTCTTAGCCTGACTCCTACACATGACCTCTCCCACCCTCGTCTACTACCCGTATGAAAGCAGCCCAAGACTGCAGGTTTTATCACAAAAACACAGACTTCCTCCATGAGTCTGCTTCCAACAGAAAAGGCTAACCCTTGGTTTTCATCTTGTTTCTACTGATTCCCAAGCCATGCTGAATTGACCAGGCATTCAGTTTTACCCTATCACATTCTTGACAATTAAAACTAAATGTGCTTCACCGACTGGAGTACATTTTACAACTTTCTTAAGCATGCTTACCAGCGTTATCTGTTCTGTCAGCGTATCCTGAGAACTGTCTTGGGACAAGGTGGCATTCTGAGCAGGACTCTGTGGTTTGGTGGGGGCAGATGCCGCCACCCCTGGGGTCCGGGAAGTGACTGGAGACAGTGCCTTGTTAGTTGTTGAGGAGGGTCTATTTATTGGCGAGGACCGAGCAGGGGAGGGTCCTGGGCCGGAGCCACTCACAGGTGCCAGGGACGAGGTAGAAGAGGTGGGCAGAGGCCGTGTGCAGGGCGGGGCAGGGTCCACAGGGAGCCTTGTCGATGCCACCGTCTAAAGGGCAGAGTACAAGTGGAGCAAGGTGAAGAAAAGATGTCAGGGCAGCCCACGGTCCAAATACCAGAGCGCCCACAGCATCAGAGATACTCACTGCCAGTACCTTCCACTCCATGACAACGCAAGCAAACAAATCACATCACATCCACGGCCCAACACTAACGTGTCCACAAACAAATAATACATCCTTCTACTTCCACAAAACCAAACAGGAGTTTTCATCATGAACTATCTTTAGGCCATGCCCAGTGGCTCATGCCTGTAATTCCAACACTTTGGGAGGCCGAAGTGGGAGGATCGCTTGAGCCCAGGAGTTTGAGATGAGCCTGGGCGACAAAGTAGGACCCCATCTCTACAAAAAAATTTAAAAATTAGCCAGGTGTGGTGGTGTGCACCTTTGGTTGCAGCTACACGGGAGGCTGAGGTGGGAGGATTGCTTGAGCCTGAGAGGTTGAGGCTGCAGTGAGTCATGTTTGTGTCACTATACTCCCTCCTGGGCAACAAACCAAGACCCTGTCTCAAGAAAATATAACGTAACGTAACATAACGTAACGTAACGTAACATAACATAACATACAAATTCAGTGTGCCTCTCTCATGGCAGATGGGCTAAAAGGGTTAAAAAATCCTCCTCAGGCCAGGCACAGTGACTCATATCTGCAATCCCAGCACTTCTGGAGGCTGAGGTGGGTGGATCACCTGAGGTCAGGAGTTCGAGACCAGCCTGACCAAAATGGAGAACCCTCATCTCTACTAAAACTACAAAATTAGTAGCCAGGCATGGTGGTGCATGCCTATAATCCCAGCTACTTAGGAGGCTGAGGCAGGAGAATTGCTTGAACCCAAGAGGTGGAGGTTGTGGTGAGCTGAGATCGCGTCATTCCGCTCCAGCCTGGGGAACAAGAGCAAAACTCTGTCTCAAAAACAAAAGTCCTCCTCTTCGCACCACCTCAACAACAGACTGAATTAAATTCACAGAGAACTGTTGCTGGGGATAGAGAGCAGAGATGATGGGCTGAGTGCAGATTCATACAAGACTCAGCCCGTTCAAAAGCTGAAGGGAGACAAAGAACCGCTAGAACACACTCTCTCTGAGTGACTGTCCCATGGCACGGGTTTCTTTTCTTCACAGCTGCAGCACTGTCCCCCGGCTGGCCACAGGCTTTTGGAAATGAAGCTTTATTAGAGCACAGCCACATCCACTTATGTGCTGTCTGTGTCTTCACTTCCGCCACAGAAACTGAACCGTCCGCAAAGCCAGAACATTTATTACCTGGCCCTTGACTGAGAAAGTGTGCCCATCCTGCTCAACCTAAGTAACAGGTTCCTACAGACTTTGTAAAGGCTTCTTTAAAATCATTTTCCAGGCTGAGTGTGGAGGCTCACGCCTGTAATTCCAGCATTATGGGAGGCCAAGGAGGGTGGATTAGTTGAGATCAGCAGTTTGAGACCAGCCTGGCCAACATGGCAAAAGCTCATCTCTACTAAAAAGTGAAAAAAAAAAAAAAAAAAAAATAGTTGCCTAAGCATGCACAAGATATTACATGCATTGTAAAATGATCAGTAAATGATTTCCTGTACCGCTGTTCTTAAGGAGATAATATAAAGTCATTTAGAGAGCTAAATTGTGAAATACATCATTTCTCTGCTGGAAAAAAAAAAAAAAAAAAAACTAGTAGGGCATGGTGGCACACACCTGTAGTCCCAGCTATTCAGGAGGCTGAGGCAGAAGTGTTTGAACCCAGGAGGCAGAGGTTGCAGTGAGCAAAGATCGAACCACTGCACTCCACCCTGAGGGACAGAGAGAGACTCTGACTCAAAAAAAAAAAAAAAAAAAGATAAGATAAAATAAAATCATTTTCCACAGCTGATTTTTTCAGTAATACAGGCAGGTAAATTAAATCTAAGAAAAACCACACAGCTGCTTTAAGTCAGTATGTGGCTTGATGTGAGGAAGTGTTCAAAATAGAATCATTTCCACAAAAACCTAAAGCAAGCAATGTAAGGCCTAGAAGAGCTCAGTGCCCCGACATGTGTTGCCTTTCTCAGAGTGGGTGCACTAGGGTTCACTGCAGACTTGCACAAAAGGCTCCCAAGCACAGCCCCACCAGTCACTGGCTTTTCTGGCCTCCATTTTTTTAAATCTATAAAATGGAGATAATAAACATTCTACATCATAAGGTTGTCAGGTAAAGGAAATAAATAATGCCAACAAATCATTCATCACAGTGCTTGACACCACACCTCACAAGTGATGAATAAGTGATAGCTATTATCATTACTATTATTTCATCATTATATACTTAAGACTTTGCCATAAATCTCAAACATAAAGAACCTGCAGGCCGGGTGTGGTGGCTCAGGCCTGTAATCCCAGCACTTTGGGAGGCCAAAGCCGGCGGATCACCTGAGGTCGGGAGTTCAAGACCAGCCTAACAAATATGGAGAAACCTCGTCTCTACTAAAAACACAAAACTAGCCAGCATGGAGGCACATGCCTGTAATCCTAGCTACTAGGGAGCTGAGGCAGGAGAATCGCTTGAACCCAGGAGGCGGAGGTTGTGGTAAGCCAAAATCGGGCCATTGCACTCCAGCCTGGGTAACAAGAGCGAAACTCCGTCTAAAAAAAAAAAGAAAAGAAAAAGAACTTTTAGCTCGGGCAGCATGGCAAAATCCCATCTCTACAACAATACGAAAATCAGCCAGGTGTAGTGGTGTGTGCCTGTAGTCCCAGCTATTCAGGGGGCAGAGGCAGGAGGATCATCTAAGCCCAGGAAGTAGAGGCTGCAGTGAGCAGAGATTGTCCCACTGCATACCAGCCTGGGTGACAGAGCCAGAACCTGTTTCAAAACAAACAAAAACCCTGAACTCAAAGCCCACCTAGGAAATTCCTTTGTTAGTGAGGGAGAGGGTAGAAGGCAAGACTCTGCAGTGGGCTCCCCACGCCCTGACGTGCATCAAACAGAACTAAGAGGGCTGAGAGCCCTCCCCGGCCTCCCTGTCAGTGCCCTGTTGACAGCTGGCATCCAGGCTGTGGCATTTCGCTACTCCTTGGAAACCAAAACCAGTTTACTGTGGACATTCCAAAACCGCACTGGGTAAAATTCACCAGTGGGGGAGGAGGGGCATTTTAACTACCTGAAACATGTATCAAGCTGGATCAGTAATGCCTTACACACGTGTATCAAGCTGGCTCATTAACACCTTACACACGTGTATCACGCTGGATCAGTAACGCCTTACACACGTGTATCACGCTCATTACCATCCTTACACACGTGGCACGCTGGATCAGTAACGCTTACACGTGTAGTATCGGCTGCGCTGATCAGAATGCCGCCTTACACGGTATCACCTGATCAGTAACGCCATACACGCAGTGGCCTTACACACGTGTATCACGCTGGATCAGTAACACCTTACACACGTGTATCACGCTGGATCAGTAACACCTTACACACGTTTGCAGAGCACAGAGCATCCCAAAAGCAGCAAAGCAGGCACCCAGGGAGCACATCTGGTGGGTGGTGTGCTGCGTGGTTTTGCACTCACATGGAGCTAAGGTCAAGCCCCGCTCGTCACTTCATCGCCATGTAACTTGGGGCCAGCCCCAGAACCTCTGAGTATTTGTCTCCACACTAGTAGAATGGGTCGCTGCCACCTACCTGAGAGTTGCTGGGCAGCTCATACGGGATAACTGACACTATGCCCTTCACACAACATGTGGGTAAGCAGGGGCCCATGGTACTAAGAGTGACAATAATAACAGCTGTCTATTATTATTATTATTATTATTTTTTTTTTTTTGAGACGGAGTCTCACTCTGTCACCCAGGCTGGAGTACAATGGTGTGATCTCAGCTCACTGCAACCTTCACCACCCGGGTTCAAGTGATTCTCCTGTCTAAGCCTTTGAAGTAGCTTGGACTACAGGCACGTGCCACCACACCTGGCTAATTTTTGTATTTTTAGTAGAGACAGGGTTTCACCATGTTGGCCGGGTTGGTCTCGAACTCCTGAGCTCAGGTGATCCACCCACCTCAGCCTCCCAAAGTGCTGGGATTACAGGCGTGAGTCACCAAACCTGGCCCCCTTCTTTAGTACTTTAATAAAGATAATATCATAGAACCAAATAAAACTATAGTGCAAGTACTGAATTAACTAATTGTTCTAAATTGGGGGAGCAAGCTGCTAAGAGAAAATATACAAATTACAGTGTGGTGTGACACTCTGTCTAACACCCAGGCAGTCCATTTTCTTTTTTTCCTGTTTCTTTTCTCATACCTGTGGCAGGGAGGAAAGCTGAGAGGGCTGCACCTGCACCTTCCCAGGCGTGGGAACGTGGAGGGCCAGCGGTGCAGGCTGCGAGGGAGGGATGGGGAGTTGGCTGCTGGGGGGTGCAGGGATGGGAACATTGGGCTGCTGAGTCTTCACCGGGATTTGGAGCTGTGTCTGGGCCTCCACTGCTTGCGGCTGCTGTGCAAACTGCAGCGCAGAGGAGAGGGCTGCGGTGGGAACACCGGCTGGGGGCAGCCTCCCAGGCAGCTGCGGCAGTGGGGTGTGCAAGCTGGCGGCGTTCTGCACGGGAGGCCCCGTGGAGGGGTCATACTGCTGCTGACTCTGCCTCTGTCCAGTGAGCTGCGCGGTCTGCGGCGTGGGGGGCATTCCTCCTGCAAAATAAGAAAAGTGCCAAGAGCACTGATTCCCAAGTGTGGCAGCTTCTACCAGTGAGTCACAAGGAAACATGTCTGACACCCCGGTGCTTATCCAAGACCCACCACACTCACACAAGAAGTCGGCCACAACTGAGCACACACAAAAGGAAAGAGAGGCGCTTGACCTTTGCAAGTCAGCATCAAGCAAAACAAGCACCAGATCACCACAGGGCATCCCCACAATGCGGCAATTAGGAAAAACACAGGAGTAAAAATTGTTGAAAGACACTATGACAAAGCGACGTGTGGCTCCCATTAGTGTGGCAAGAACATGTCTCCAGGGGCTTTGCATATGATATGGACCGGGACTCAGAGAAGTATCTCAATTTCAGGCACCCCACTGCAAACACGCTACCTCCACTGCCCAAGTTTGAGTCTGGTGCTGGTTTCTGGAACCGCAGTGTACCGCCTGCTCCTGAGTGGGGAGCTGGCTCTGCTGCTGGGCCTTACCTTGTGCGGTCGGCATTAGCTGCTGGAGAGGAACGCCTGCGTCCGCCCCCGGGTGCTGGAAAACTACCCCTTGGTGACCCACTTCAAGGCGAGGCCTCTTAGACTGCTCTAGAATAATTTTCAAAAAAGGTGCAGTTTGATGTAAAAATAAAACCAGAAAAGTAGTAGAAAAAAACGTGTGTTTTTATCATCTTTGAACAGGGAGGCCTTTCTATACATTAACCAAAATCCAGAAGCCATAAAAGATAAGGCTGATAAATACAATTTCTCATTAAAATGTTGCCAATATAAGAAAAAGCTTCATAACAAGGCCAGGGACAAGCAACAACCCAAGAGGCAACACTGCAACGCGTGCGATGGACAGAGTTGGACTCGCTCAGCACTCGGAAAGCACAAGCACACGAGGAGCACCACAAGCACACAGACGAGAGCATGGAGAGCGGGCAGTGGGGCAGACTCACAGATGCCCAGCACACGGGAATGAGGCTGCACAGCGTGCTCAAAACTAAAGAAATCCAAATCAGAACAAGGATTTTTTCACCCATCAGAGCAATGAGGATTAAATGACTTATACCTAATAAAACGATCTAAATGAGAAAGAACCAGCCATTGTTGATGGCAGTGAAAACTGGCCCTGACCTTTTGGTGGGCAACTGAGCACCATCATTACCTAACTACACCTGCGCTTTGATGTAGCAATTTCATTTCTAGGCATTTTTCCTTTAGATATATTGACAGACAGTCGGGTGTGGTGGCTCACGCCTACAATCTCAGCACTTTGGGAGGCTGAGGTGAGACGACTTGAGCCCAGGAGTTCGAGACCAGCCTGGGCAACATAGTGGGACCCTGACTGTAGCCAAAATGCAAAAAGGCTTGCATGGAGCCGGGCATGGTGGCGGCGCCTGTAGTCCCAGCTACTCAGGAGGCTGAGGCACAGGATTTGCTCGAGGCTGAAGTGAGCCATGATGATGCCATTGCACTCCGGCCTGGGTGAGCCAGACCCTATCTCAAAAAATAAGGAGATACACAGACTGATAAACATGTAGGAAAAAAAAAAAATGAGACTACATGTTCAATCCTCGGTTCACTGTAACAGATAAAATGTGGCACTAACAGATGAACATTGACAAGGATCTGACTGATAAAGAACCAACCATCCCCATGATGGAACAGCGCGTGGCACTGAGAGAGGGGTTATGACTTGAAGAGATGGCCTTTTCAGTTAATATTCTTAAACATAACAACATACATACAACCCGATCACATCTGAACTTTTTCAAAGTATCACATATGTAACAATGCTTGTGTATGGAGAGGAAGGTCTGTGAGAGAGAATATGCGAAACATTAACAGTGGTTACTGCTGTGGCTGGGGAGTGGGCAGGTACCAAGTCAGAGGTAGGCTTAAGTTATCCTCTACTGCACTGTTGAAGTCTTTTATATAAAAATGTATTAAGTTTATTATTTGAAAAAAATCAGCTTAAAAATATGACAACTTCAGAAAGCAGATGATTTTGTGTTGAGCTACACTGTGGTGACTCAAGAGCCTACAAATGCATACAGAAAATCAATATGGAATATACCTGCTCAACTGAAAAAGTCCTCACCTCAGGACACAGAAAAATTCACATAAATATTGTTCAGGTGATAATCACCATAAGAGAGGTTAATTTTCAAAGTAGGAAGAAATCAAGTTTAGCAACTGCTCTTCAGAAACTCATGGCAACTGTACCTCGGCAGCCCAAGAAGAGGGGGGCATTCCAAAGGCCGTGCTAGCTGTGCCCTGACATACCTGCCATACCTGTGGAGGGCATCGCCTGCTGCCTCTTAAACAGGTCAGTCTCTACTGTGCTTCCGGCCCCTGCTACCAGGCTCCCTGCGAGGGCTTGCTGCTGGGAAAAAAGATGAAAAAATGAAGGCCATTACAAGAATAAACTCAAACCATCATAATTATCCCAAACATCGACCTCATTCCTTTTTAATAACAGAAATGTTATCTACCCCGTGTCTTTAAATATACATGTGTAATGTATATTTATGTATAATAAACAATTTAAAGTTCTAACTTACCTCTGGAGGAAAAAAGACTTGTAAAAGACATATGATTCTGGTTTTAATGGAATTTCAAATCAATGCAAACCTACAGTCCTCGGGAAACTAACTAGCTTTGCGTACTGGATGATAACAAAAGGCCTAATGCTGGGAACATGAGTTCCAGTTCTGAGACAAAGCTCAGCCGACCCGTCAGTCACACTGCCCAGCATAACTTCACATCCAAAAACACCAAATAATAAAAAGGTTAAATTGCCTTTCTACTGGAAAATGACACTAAAACCCCAATTAATAGCTATCTAATTAACTTAGATTTTGTTTGTTTGTTTTTGAGACAGAGTCTCACTCTGTTGCCCAGGCTGGAGTGCAGTGGTGCAATCTCGGCTCAGTGCAACCTCTGCCTCCCAGGTTCAAGCCATTCTCTTGCCTCAGCCTCCTGAGTAGCTGGGACTACAGGCACCTGCCACCACGCCCGGCTAATTTTTTGCATTTTTAGTAGAGACAGAGTTTCATTGTGTTAGCCAGGATGGTCTTGATCTCCTGACCTCGTGATCCACCCGCCTTGGCCTCCTAAAGTGCTGGGATTACAGGCGTGAGCCACCGCACCCAGCCAACTTAGATCTTTAAAATGATATTTTTACAGTTAGCACCCTACTTGAGACATACATACGTGAGATATATAGAGATATAAATAGACAGATGTTATTTTAAATGTTTAAAGTGAAAAAAAGCCATCACCAGGTGTGGTGGCTTACGCCTGTAATCCCAACATTTTGGAAGGCTGAGGTGGGAGGATCGCTTGAGGTCAGGAGTTCAAAACCAGCCTGGGCAACACAACGAGATCCTGTCTCTACAAAAATATAAAAATTAAAATATTAGCCAGGCATGGTGGCACACACCTGTAGTCCTAGCTACTCAGGAGTCTTGAGCCCAGGAGTTTGAAGCCACAGTGATCTAGGACTATGTCACTGCACTCTGCATTCCAGCCTGGACAACAAAGCAAGACCCCATCTTTAAAAAAAATAAAATGAAAGAAGCCAATCTGAAAAGGTGACATGCTACATGATCCTAACTCGGAAAAAGCGAGACAACAAAAAGATGAGTGGTTGCCAGGTACAAAGTAGCAGGGAGGAGGTAAACAGGCAGAGCACGGGAAATTTTTAGAGCAATGAAACTATAGTACTATGCTAATGACAAGGCACTGAAGGCTCAGCAAGGGCAACAAACGTACCGTCTGGAGGGGACACGGATATAAAGGAGGCTGTGCACATGGGGTTGGGGGCAACGGGGTATGTAAAAAAATCTCTGTTCCTTCCTGTCAATTCTGCTGTGAACCTAAAACTGCTTTTAAAAAATCATGGTTTTTAAAAGTTTACATGGAAAGCTACCGGCATGTTCTCTCACGAAGACAGAAACCAGCCAACTCTTGGTCAGCACAGACTCAACCCTAACCCTCTTCCATCTGGTCACCATCCTCGCAATTAAAGTAAATGCTAAGAACTTAATTACTAGTTACTAAGAACTTAAATCACTCAAAAATATTCATTCTACTTAGTGAGACATTTTAAACGCAAAAGTTACAGATACCTAAACAAAGTAACTGTTCAGTGAGAGGGAGCTGTTTGAACCAACTGCCACACAAGGCCCACCACGCAGCCACCACCAGCCATGCCAGAGACTCTGTACGCACATGGGCAGAGGCTTAGGAAGAGTTACTAAAAGGAAAAATCAGCCCCAATACAGCATATGTAAGAGGAAGGCACTGCTATTTACATCTAACCAAGATAGAAAAGGAAAGACGACGAAAGGGACAGAGGGGATGGACAAAGAGAGGGCGGAAAGAAAGGAAAGAATGCTTTGAAAACAATGGCCTGGCAGTGCTCACCTCTGGGGCAGCATTACAGGTGACATGATTTGTGTGTGTGTGTGAGCTTATAAATTTCCCAAATGTTCTATAATGAGCATGTATGACTAATGTAATCAAAAGAAAAGAATATTTTTTAATAAACAAAACTTGATAAAGGGCTCTGTGTCCAGAAATGGCCAAGTACTTCCTATCGGGTCAAACATAATCCAGGTAACAAGGCCGGGCACGGTGGCTCACGCCTGTAATCCCAGCACTTCGGGAGGTGGAGGTGGGTGGATCACAAGGTCAGGAGATCAAGATCACGGTGAAATCCATGTATTTTGTAAAATACAAAAAAAAAAAAAATTAGCCGGGCGCGGTGGCGGGCGCCTATAGTCCCAGCTACCCAAGAGGCTGAGGCAGGAAAATGGCGTGAACCCGGGAGGCGGAGCTTGCAGTGAGCTGAGATTGCACCACTGCACTCCAGCCTGGCGACAGAGCAAGACTCCATCTCAAAAAAAATAAAATAAAATAAACATAATCCACGTAAACATAAACTCTAGATGAAACACAAAAAAATATGAAAAGGTAGGCCAGTGATACAGGAAGGGAAATGATACTTGCAAGAAGGGAATGGAACATGGTAAGGTTTCCAGTTTCATGGCATTTGGCATGAGGGCAGCCCCAGCCTGTGCTCTACGGAACAGCTCAAACCTAAAGACACATAGCATCTCACGGACTTGAACAAGAGGACAAAGAGCAGGAGACAGTTGGAAAAGGAGGCCCCATATTCTCTCCCTAACCTCCACCTAAACCATGTACACAAAAACAGAATCCAAGCGAAGGCCCAAGTACTGAACTGAGTTTTCAGGTGCCTCCCGTCACAAAGGAGAAAGAGTGGCCGGGCGCGGTGGCTGAAGCCTGTAATCCCAGCACTTTGGGAGGCCGAGACGGGCGGATCACGAGGTTGGGAGATCGAGACCATCCTGGCTAACACGGTGAAACCCCGTCTCTACTAAAAAAATACAAAAAACTAGCCGGGCGAGGTGGCGGGCGCCTGTAGTCCCAGCTACTTGGGAGGCTGAGGCAGGAGAATGGCGTAAACCTGGGAGGCAGAGCTTGCAGTGAGCTGAGATCCGGCCACTGCACTCCAGCCTGGGCGACAGAGAGAGACTCTGCCTCAAAAAAAAAAAAAAAAAAAAAAAAAAAA